GAAGTTGAAGTTGAAGTTTGAAGTTGAAGTTTGATGTTGAAGTTTGATGTGAGGATGGGTAGGTAGGTAGGTAGGTAGGTATGGAAATCTTGGTGGTTGGGAAAGAGGATGTGTGTATGTACTACGTATGTATGTATGGATGGAGCTTGATGGGTGGGGGGGGGTTATGCTGATATGATATGATATGATATGATGACATGGAATGGAATTATCCTGCGAAAAGTCTCGAGTTGAGACGGATGTTAATGGAATGGAATGGAATGGAGCCGAACAGCAGAGCAGAGAAAAACAAAACACGCTACACGGGCTGCTTTTCCTTTCTTTTCTTGTTTGATTCTGAATAGCCTCTTTAAAGCTGCGGGTGCTAGCGAGTGCATGCATGGATGAGTGAATGGATGAATCCCTAGCTCAATAGATAAGTACGTACAGTTACTACGTAGTACTACGTAGTAGCTGAACAGACCCAGCAGCCGTCCCCACCGGGCAGATACTTGTAAGTGATACTTGTAAGTTACTACTAGCTTTTCCGGCGAGGGGGAAACCGGGAGGCGGGAGCCCGGGTGGGGGTCTTCTCCAATGCGGCGCCAGCGTAGCGCCGGCGGATCAATTAAATTAAATCAACCTTCGACGGGGCAGCGGAACCCACTCACTTCTCGTGCGCCACTGCTTGAAGCAGGGGTTACGGTACCACGTATGGATACAGTAGAGACAGGTTCGAATGTGTATATATATATATATATATACTTTTGTTTTCCAGTGAGCTCCGAAGAGGAAATACTGTAAATCGGCTTCATATTATTTCGCATGATAGTGGTGATGATAATGATGATGGTAACACCGCGAGACAAGGTAAGCAAAGTGAAATTCACTGATTGAAGCGTGTTGTTGTGTCATCGTGGAGTGTCATGGCTGGATAGATAGATCTACTATGAGAAGTATGGTGCGCTTTCGCGCTTGCTGTGTTTGTTTGCTGTTGGTTACTTACTTATTGACCTCGCCTAGAGACGGACGCATAGATAAGCGAGTAAGAGCCAGGAACAAATACATACGTACGTAGTAGTACACCGGAAGGTGCTTTAGCTGTGTGGGTATCCTTCCTTCGATAGCATTTCGCAGACCTCTCAAAGTGATTCACTAGCTCTGGATACAGGCTTTTCCGCCCAATCCACCTACCTCCCTTTGCAATACGGCGAGGAACCTTTTTATATTATAGGACAGACACATCGACCATTCCCGCCTACAATCTGCTACGCTCCGCCTTCACTCGTACGATTTTGCGCGCCCAAGGATGACCCTTTCTCCGATTGACGTATCTATCTACTGCGTACATCCGTGGTATCCAAAAGCCCAGGATGCGCCTGCTCCAAGGCCGTGATGCCCACAAGCTGCGCCGCCATCTGGAGCTCCTCGCGCAAAACTACAGGACGTAGTAGTACATCCCTTTGCATTAGCTCGCTCCCGAAACCAATCCAATAAGTAAGAAGGGGTACATAAAAAAGGAAAAAAAAAAACCCTTACTCGCAAACGCCCCCGTCGCCCCCTGCTCCCCATACTGCAGCGCATAAACGGTCTCCCGAGCAAAACCCCACCGGCGCCGAGACAGATCGCCTTCAGGATGTCGCTTCCCCTGCCAACCCCACCGTCGATGGAGACCTCCATCTTCTCTAGGATTTCAGGATAGGACGCTTGGATCTCCAGGAGGGTTATGAGAGCCGAGACGGCGGTGTCTAGCGCTCTACCTCAGTGGTCCGTAAGGTAGACGCCAGCGCATCCGTGCTCGTAAGCCTTCTTGGCATCAGCTGCCCTCTGGGATACCCTTGACGAAGACGAGGGCGCCGGATTTCTGCTTGATCCACGCACTGCAGCTCCAGTCGATGTTTACAGTTGGGTGAGCCAATTGAGCTTGCTTCTTCCCTTCGCCGATGAGGGATTGTCGTGGGGGCGCTTCCTGCTCGCTCATGACGGGGAGGTCGACGGTGAAGAGGATAGCTTGGGGTTTGTATTTTCCCACTTCGGTGAGGATACGTTCTTTTTCGGCGCGGTCGGTGTAGAAGTACAGCTGGAAGATGAAAGGCGTCCCAGCAGGAATGACATCCATGATCTCGCGGAAGGAGAAGGGACTCATTGTTGGGATGATAGGGGCGACGCCGTAGGCGACCGATGCTCATGCGTGGGCGAGCTCGCACATCCCAAACAAGGCCGTTCGTTGATGATGACCCAGGAGTCGTCGTCAGATTGGCGCTTGCTGACTTCTGCGGCCGAAATCTTGGAGCCAGTCATGTTGACGTTGCTTGCCGCGTTGGGCTGTATTCGACTCCTGCCGATCGGTTCCTGGTGGTTTTAAGATTCAGAAATATAAGTTCTTGATGTAGGAAGATGAGCTTCTATTTCCCATAATATGCTGACAAAAGTGAGGTGGGTATATATTGTGAATTGAACTTCTCAATTCTTCCAATCTGTTATGGCAAAGCATAGCGCAGACGCTGATTCGTCAGCTATAGTATTCAGGATTAGAAGTCAACAGGAAGTATAACGTGAATAGGATAGATGAGTATTACGAACTTGTATAGCACACTCGTGTCCGCAACGTTTGGGCGTACAGACCCAGGTGCTCGAGTCAGTGATAGAAAAATTATCATCAAGCTCGCCTGTCTTGAGCAATATTAAGACCTTGGGGACATTTGTATTTTCCCGATACTCTTTACCCACCCAGAACGTCAAATCGCCATATTTCACAGTTCTACAACGTAAGGAGTGTTTCCTAGATCCGTCGTGCTCTGGTATACCAGCGCAGCGTTGACAAGCAACCCACCATTCCCCCCTCGTGGTCCGACCATCAGCCTCTGCCATAAAATACCCTTGAAGCCGTGGTACATCACCATCAGCGCATCCCACCAGGCAAAACTTGGAATGAGGTCTGCGATTACCCCTCCCTTCGGTCTGTTCATGAGCCTTTCATATGCACCTTGGCACTCGTCCCAGAATACAGGTTCTCGGCCGTGACCAGAGTGTATGTGTCCAAAAACATGGAGGCGTGGCTTCACGCGCCAGATTTCCTTCAGTAGACCTGCGCATCCGAGGTTGAGGTCTAGATGGTATCGAGGGGGCGTGTGAGTGATCAAGACATCGGTTTCTATGGGGATACGCTTCTCCCAAGGATCATTGGGGCGTTCGTATTGAAACCTGTCTTCCATTAGCCTTGAGGCGATCCGCAAACACCTCTACGTACGCCATCTCGCTCCCACCGCATTCTGGGATATCTGGAGCGCCGTAGAAATTCAGCTTTCGTCCGCCCTTGAACTTTAGCGTTATAGCTTTGTTCTCCAGATAATGTAGCGTCTTGAAGTTCAATCTCCTTCCCCTGTCCTCCACTCTCCGGGACTTGGTATCGAAATAGCTGTCGTGGTTTCCTGCGATGACAATCTTTTCCCTGTGAGGTAGGGAAGCCAGCCAGTCCAACTGAGCCTGGATCTCCTTGACCGTACCCGCATTGGTCAGATCTCCGGCGTGTATGAGGAGGTCTCCATTGGGGACATCTTGGATGTTTGTATGGGTGTCGGAGATGCAGACGATCTTGACTTTGGGCTTGTCTTTGCGGGGTTTGAAAGGGGCACCGCGGAGGCTCAGGACGATGGCGTAGATTGTAGCTATCAGGTATCGCAGAGGAGATTCAAGGAGCTTGTCGAGAGTTGTGGGAGGGTCGTAGACGTTTCTGCGCCGAGACCACGGCCATTGGGATGTCCCCATGATGGAGGGGGGAAGGGGGGAGGGGGGGATTAGTGGAAATGGAAGAGAAATGGTCAGTCGTAGCTGTTGGATCGACGCAGATACTATACCGTTATTGGCTATGCTATACTTACTGCGCGGCACAGTGTCTTGCCCTGATTCCTCGACTTCATTGACGCGTGGGTGAGGGGAGGAGAGTGCGACATTCACGTCGACGGCGACGGCGACGGCGACGGCGACGTGGTATAAGCAAGATGCTGTGTAACGGAGCTGTTGTCGCGGGTAAGGAAAGATATGGCCGTTGACGTCATTCATGGCTTGAAAGTTCAAGATCCCCAACCAGCCTCGTTGTCCAACAAGAACACCAGAGAGCGCGCGGTATGCCAAGTTCTGGCGCGGAGGGTCAATCTGTATCCTCGTCCTCGACCTCTTCCTCTTCCTCTTCCTTCCCACCTCCTTTATTATCTCCTCCCCTCCCTCTCCCTTCCTCCCCTTATCCAACAACATTCACACTCGAGACCGCATCCGTAGTCTGGGAAGGGATCATGGCCGCAGCAAAGGAGCTCTACGAGCTCAAGGTGACCGATGACTTTCACCCTAATTACCAGTATGTACCGTATCTCACCATACCGTACGGCTGTCCTACATGATACCGAAACTTACTGGTTTAGTGTTGACTACGTGATCGATTTCCGTGTTGCAACCCCCAGGTTGCGTGTGCACAATTCGAGTATATGCCCTACCCACAAGATTTTAGAGGTTAGATGCTAAATATTTTACAGGCCAGCGTGAAGCCGAAGAGCAGTTCGCGAAGCTTATCCAAACTCTCAACAATGTTGGCCTGTCCGCAGAAGTCCGAAAAGGAGACAATGCCGCCTTGTTGATATTCGTCAAGGTGGCGTCCGAGAAGCACTTGAGAACAGAGGTGTACCGATCGAGAGTCCAGGACTGGCTGTATGGCGTACGGAGTGCGGCCCCAGAGAAGGACATGCAGAAGGCAATTGATGATGAGCCGATCACCGAAGCCGAACGCCTACGACTGACATATCTGTTGATCACCAAATCACCAAGCGACGGTGGAGCTGGCATCACCCCTAAGGAAGGGGAGTGGAAGAGAGTGGAGTCGATCTTTGCTCTCCATGACCACGCCTTCAACAAGGCTTGGCTCAAGGACATTGCCTCGAAATCATTTCTGGACGCTTCGGACTTGGTTCGGATTAAGGACAAGTTTGGAGAGAAGATTGCATTCTACTTTTCCTTCTTACAATCCTATTTTCTCTTTCTCACATTCCCTGCTGGCTTCGGATTCTGCGCCTGGCTGTTGCTTCCAAAATTTTCGCCAATTTACGCCGTTGTAAACGCACTATGGACAGTTGTGTTTGTAGAGTACTGGAAGAAACAGGAGACGGATCTTGCTGTCCAGTGGGGTGTGCGAGGAGTGTCCAAGATCCAACGCAAGCGACCGGCTTTTCAACATGAGAATATCGTGAGAGATCCGATTACTGGAGAGGACGTCAAAATATACTCTCCTGTGAAGAGGTTGTCTAAGCAGTTGCTGCAAGTTCCGTTTGCAATTGGGGCCGCTCTTATTCTTGGGAGTTTGATTGCGACATGCTTCGGGATTGAAATTTTCATTTCGGAAGTCTACGATGGTCCCTTCAAGACGTACCTGGTAGGTCTCTTCGTCCGTAATTCCAAACCTAACCTAACATATCCAGGTCTTCTTACCCACTGTCATTCTCACCACTGTGATGCCGGCATTGTCTGCGTTCCTGACGGGCTTTGCTTCTCAGCTGACAGATATGGAGAACTACGAAACCCAAGATGGTAAGCAAAACTGCGACAATCTCGCTCATAGCTAACATTCAACAGCATACGAGGCCGCAATGGTATCCAAGATCTTCATCCTGAACTTTATCACATCATACCTCCCAATTATCCTTACCGCTTTCGTCTACGTTCCATTCGCACAGATTATCGTGCCCTATCTCGACGTCTTTCAGCTAGCTGTTCGACCATTTGCTGAAAATGAAAAGCAAATGTCGGCACCAAAAGTCGGGTTTCAGATCAACCCTGACAGACTGAAGAAGCAGGTGATCTACTTCACATTCACAGCACAGGTCGTCAGCTTTGCTCTTGAAGTTATCGTTCCATTCGCCAAAAGAAAGGTCTTCCACAAGGTAAAGGAGGTCCAGGCCGATAGAGCTGCTAAGCGAGGCGAAGACCCCGGTGCTTCGACCGAAGACCACCCAGAAGAAGCTGAATTCTTGGCGCGGGTTCGCAATGAGGCAGAGCTAGATGCCTACGATGTAACGATTGACTTTAGAGAGATGATCGTTCAATTCGGTCAGTCACTCCCATACTCACCCTCTCAACACTACTAACAAAACAAGGCTACTTGTCTCTATTCTCCGTCGTCTGGCCATTGACTGGATGCTCATTCTTCGTCAACAACTGGATCGAGCTCCGCGGTGACGCCACGAAGATCGCTCTCGGATCTCAACGTCCAGTACCATGGAGAGGCGACTCCATAGGACCTTGGCTAGACGCCTTGGGATTCCTCGCTTGGCTTGGAAGTCTGACCTCAGCAGCACTCGTTTACCTCTTCAGCGGCAATGGTCTTGGTCCTTCAGGTACACCATGGGATATCAAATTCTGGGGGCTCCTGCTCGCTGTGTTTTTCTCGGAACATATTTATCTTGCCGTGCAACTGGGAGTCCGTAAAGCGATAAGTAAATTCGATAGTCCTGGATTGCAGAAGGAGAGATCTGAGAGATATCTCGTCCGGAAGTAAGCCGTGCTATTCCCTTCTCTCACAGCGCCGGTACCGGATGAGATGCTGACGATTGCAGGAAATACCTCGAAGAAAGCATCGGCAACGAACAAGCTGACGTAGCAGCCACAGACGGCATCGCTGCCGGCGGAAAAATCAGTAGGGCTACGCTTGAAGAAGAAGCGAAGCATTCGACTCTGGGTGGGCGTGGGACTCCTGAGCAGAGGTTTTGGGGAAGGCAGCAGGGGCAAGCGGAGACGATTGCTATTGGGAGGGCGTATATCCAAAAGGTAAATCTTGTTACTTGCGGATAGTGAGACTAAGATCGTGGCTAATTGAGTTGTAGGCCGCTCCGAAGGCGAAGGAGTCGAAAAAGGAGTTGTGATTTTGATGAGGATGCATGCGTATGTGGTTTTTCGAAACCCAAGCGAGGGTTCTTTTCGCTGAGACGGGTCTGGTTCGATAAAAGTGTCGATGGGATATGCAGTTTTTGAGCGTAGTCTTTTCAATGCCATGAACATATCTTACTCATTTACGTCCTTACCTCCATTCAAATTATCCCGAAATGACATACCTAGGTACTGGACGGCTTTCTGAAAATCCACACTGATTCTGTGATCTTTGGAGAGGGAGAGAAAGGGGGGAGGGGAGTTATCCCGCACCAGGCCAGGCAAGTCCCTTGCTCAGACTAAAAAAACGACGGCTTATTATGATGTAGGACTATTTATTAATCTGCCAACAACCATACATAAAGATTCAGGCCGAGGCCGAGCGGGGGCTATAATTATCTTGTGGACCCCGGCCATCAGAGCAGAAGTTTCCGTGGATGGTCAACCGCTATGTAGGCATGCGGGTAGATAGGTAAGGCTACCTCAAGCGGTTTGCCTTCTTCTTTTTGTCTAAGCGATGAATACGAGGGTAGATGGTGAATATTTCTGGTTGGTTGGTTGGTTAGTTGGTCTGTAGGTAAGCAGGTGTTGAGGAGGGCAGATTGGGAATTTTTGATATTGATGTTGACTCTCGGCTTAGGTTGTTGAGGAAGGGGGTTAAAGGGTTTACATGTTAGGAAAAAAGGAAGCGCCCGAGCAGGGGAGGTCGAGGGGCGGAGTTAGTAGTAACTCTCGACGATCTAAGCAGTTTGGTCCGGCGGGTGGGGGGGGGGGGGGGGGGGGGCCTGGAGCTCAAGGTACTACCGGTATGTACCTATCCATCTCACATCTTGCAGCAACTCTCACTTAACAGAGAGACAGACAGGACGGTTTTGGTAGCCAACCGAGATCAGAGGAGAGAGAGAATTGAGAGCGACAGAAAATTTGGTTCAGAGCACAGCTGGGATTGCAATTTCGGCCATGTAACTAACTAACTGTGCGTTGATGAAAAAAGCCCTAGGATCCGAACATTTCCTTCTTCGAAAGGTATTTACTCTTCCTGCTCCTCACGTCCAAATTTCAACCCAGAAAAAACAAAAAGAAAAGGCGCTTCTCTAAGCTTGTCTCGGCTCAGCTCAGCTCAGCTCAGCTGTCCGTACAACTTTTTTGTGGGAGAAGGCGTCTACTCTGGAAGCGATTTATGGCGACCAGTCAACCTCCGTGGTGCCCTTGATCTCGAACTACAGGTCACAGCAACCAAGGGGTCGTCGAGTCAGCACATTTGTTTCGGTAGCCTTTTTTGGGGGGGATGTTCTTTTTCTTTTTCATTTCCTTTTCCTTTTTTTCTTTCTCTTCTCTCTTTCTCTTTTCTCTTTCTTCCTCGTTGACGAGGGGTACGAAAAACAAGGCAGGGGGGAAAGGGTTCAACTCACGTCGCCGAGTCCGCTGCGGCCCCTTATGGTCGCACCGGACTTCTCCCACGTCATCAGGATCTCGCCCCGGCCGATCCGGCCAGTGAAGGGGCCGTCGAAGTCGCTGGGGTGGTTGAGGCAGAAGATGATGGGGTCGAGGAGAACCTCGTCCATGGGAAGGGCTTGGGCGACTGGAGGGGTGGTGGAGGGGAGAGTGTTAGCACGTGTGTCTTCGTCTGTATGTTTATGTGTATGTGTATGTGTGTGTGTTCCTTCGCTGATCTGAAGGGGTGAAGAGGGAGATGGCACGGGATGGATGGATGAAGTGTGCTGATCCATTCAAGATCATAGATGAAACTGGGGAGAAAGGAAACTGGGTGGGGGGGGGGGCTTACGCTCGCCCTTGATGTTCCAGAATGTGTTCCCGTGGATGCGAGCCTGCAGGCGCTTGCCGTCGAAGAACATCCAGCCAGGGATCTGCTCGGACTGTCGGGTTTTATTTCGCGCGGGTTAGACTACTGGGCTGCCCTGTGGTTCACCTGGGGTCTTTTGGGGGGGATGGGAAGCGTTACCTTGGTTCCGACCTTGCCGGATGGGACGGAGGAGCCGACGTCGATGCCGACTTTGGCGCCGTTGATGTGGATCTCGATGCTGTTGGGGTGGTTCTCGACGAGAGCTACGTTGCTCTCGGGAGCGGAGTGGCGGGGGCTTGCGGCCACCAAGGTGGTGAGCGCGAGCAGGAGGGTCGTTGCCGAGAGCTGCATCTTGGCTGGTTGTATGGATGTATTGTAATCAAAGGAGTAGAAGTTGGTGAAGTTTGACTTTTCTGAGGAGAGAGAGACGGAAGTGGATGGATATTTATACACTTTCTTCTCTCTTATGGACTGCCCGTACGACGAACGATCTATACTGACGAAACCTGATTTACATGAGAATGGATCGAGATCAGCAAAGACATGTGCAGTATGTGCTCTCTCCTTTTTTTTTCAGCTACAGAAGTACAGGAGAGTAGGTAGCAGAAAGCATGTTGGAAACACAAGACTGTGATACATTGGATGTACTGTGTACATATATAATAGCCACCGATCGACCCCTTTTAAGACATTTTGCGGATCCCCGCCCGATTCGAATCGACGGGGTGCAATGCCCATTCGAAAGTGGAAGAAGTATGCCAATCTCTTGTTTGTATGTTCTCTAGAGCAAGCGCGCTGGTGTTTTGAGTAACTGTGAGCTGTATGGCGTTATGAGGTAATGTCTATGCGGCGGAAGAGGGGACCGCTTTGGGTTGGACAACGGGATCTTTTCGTAGCACAGAAGGTGTGAAATCTTTTATTTGTACGGAGTAAGAGAGGAGAGCCAAAGGGAATCACGAATGATGCCTGGATTTGAAACAGGCGATGAATTACTGAACCAGACGATTCTATACATGACTACTGAAGAACATTATAATGGTTAATACGATGAATATATCAAATGTATATTCATCTCGTCGTTCTAAGGCCTTTAAGTCTTGGAGGGCTTGTCACTCTGCAGATCTGCACTTACTTACTACTCTGTACTAGCTCTTTGACATTTAAGACATGCACTTGGAACTTGGGAACCTGGGGACGGGTATCTGGCTTGCATGCATATGCATACATATATGCAGTACAACAACCTTCCTCTCGGTTCCAGCTCCAACCTCATATCCCATCACAACTTGGGAGCAATCGACCAGAGGTCACGACTCTCAACTTGACTTGTCACAGAGCCCGATTAAGCTGGCGCCAATTTCTGGTGTACGTGTTACATGTAACTTGCTTACGCTGTGTGTGCTTCTTCTTCTTCCCGTTCATTACTGAGAGACCGGGCCTCAACCACCACGTTACGTACATTTCTATGCTGTACCCAAGATCTCAAGTCACACACACAATGCCCTGCACCCTCCAAAAGCCCACTCACTCATCCAGTAAATCAAGTCAAGTCAACTAGCTCGGGACTTTCAGCTCACCCTCTCAAAACCCCCAAAGCATCTCTCGCAGACTCGGCAACTCGCACGTGTTGATGAACAGACAGCGCTGCAGTCCCGATTCCAAAGACTATAAATGAGAAGAAAAAAAATGTGAAAAGAGCAGTTGCAAAGCCGAATTCTTAGGCAAGTCTTTCCCAAGAATGTCTGCTTTGGCTTGTCTTGCAGCCCACGTGGGCGAGCAGAAAAGGGACAGGTTACGTACGGCATATGCATTCGTTCATTCATTCATGTATGTATGCATGTATGTATGCATGTATGTATATGTAAGCATGTTTCCTTTCAACCACCATATCATATGCACCAGCAGCTTCGCTCCCACTCCCCAGCTGAACCGAGATGCACGTTTCTAAGCCCAAAAAAAAAAAAAAAAAAAAAAGAAACCTGTCTCGGCCCTCTGGATGTCTGACCTACTGTATTGCAAGCCTCTTTCCACAAGCGAAAGCCGACAGCAGCTGACGAAACCGCACGTCGCAAAGAGCAGCCAGCATGATCCGAAGGAGATGGATTCTGGCATGCGTTTGTGCTGAAAAGAATTGTGATTGAACGCGTGGGTTTTGTGCATGGATTGCTATCCCCGCGGTCTGAAAGGTGGGGTGTGGGTGCAGTATCCCTTTCTCCCGTCAACCTTCCTTCTCCTTTCCTCTTTCTTCTTCGGCTCGAGGATACTTTACTACGGTATTGCTCTTCTCAGAGATTTCCTTTTCTTTCGATGTGGAGTGCGGTGGTGGAGAAGCTGGGTTCGACTCGGATCTCTGGGGAGGTGCTTTGAAGGAGTGGAGAGAGTTTGTGGGTTTTTAAAATTTACGGATGATTGATGTGGTTTATAGATGCAGAAAGGTGGGGATCTACATTTTTTGGAATTGGAGCGGGATTTAACTTATTTTTTGAGATGGATAGATTGGGTTTTAACGAGGCGGAGTTTGGGCTGTTAGAGATTGTATGCCTAGGTTTACATGCGTATATACCATATGGAGACTAATAAGCCTTGGTTGGCTAAAGTGATGTTTGTTTCTCTTCGCTTAGAACAAGGGCCTGACCCCTTTTCAATACTCGGCTATTCGTAAATCATTCCAGCTTTTGTATTGGCTACATTCCCTCGCCGCGAGCTCGCTTTGTCCTACAAGTTACTGTGAATCAACATTCTTACACAATCTCCACCCTCCTAACCTCTATCCCAAGATTTTCCTTATCCTTCTCAAGACCCGCGTGATCAGCATCGGCAATCACATGATCCCGGAAGCGCCTCAACGGCACACTCTCAATGATCATCCGATCGACCTGCTCCATGGTCCTCTCCTTGCACTCCGGCACGCAGAAGAAGGAGAAGATCAGCGCGCAGACACCGACCGCCCCGAAGATGAACCCGACTTTGGACCCCAGCGCGGCGTACATGCACATGCGCCGACCCCATCTCCCACGCGGATGACGTGTAGTAGGGGTGAAGACTTGCACTCCCTCCTCCACAAGCGGCTGCGTCCTTTACATTTAGTCCCATCAAGGCTAAGCTGCCGGAGTCAGGGCTCAATGGCGGTATACCATTCTCGTTTTTGAGAAGAACGATACTCTCAGTCGCGAGGTTTCGATTTAGTGCCTTGTCTTCCGAGAAGTTGCGCATACCTTCTTTGCTAGCAATTTCTTGTGCCGAGACTTTCTGGGCAAAGCGAAGGACGTTCGATGCAGCCGCATCCACGTCCTTCAGTTCAAGCTTACCGGTTGAGAGAGCAATGAAGGCATCGCTTGAGCGTTACAAGCATGGACCGGGCATTTCCAAATCGAGTCCTGCCTCAAATGCTGCGCCTGCTGAATAGGTACCGAACCTATAGACAGTTAGCTAAGCAACGGCAAGCCGGAGTCTTTTGCACTCTCACCAATCGCTAACTATCAGCCCTTAAAAGCCTCACTCCCCCCTCAAGGCATCTTCAACAGCTTTTTACTCTCAGAAACATGAACACCATTCATTTTATTGTAACTCGTCAACATAGCGTCTGGCTTCCCATGCTTAAGCGCTAACATGAAAGTCATCAAATAGGACTCTCTCAACGCTCTCTCGCTCACCACAAGATCCACGCTCCTTTTCCCTGTTTCCTGGTCATTAGCCACAAAGTGCTTCAGCAAAGCCGCAGTTCCTCCACTCTGTACGCCTTCTATGGTTTTTGCCACTAGAAAAAATAACATCCCCCCCAAGAAAGGTCTTCGGAGGGGCTTTTGAAGCCTCGACCGTTGAGAGGAGAGCGGTGGAGAGTAGGAGCGAGCCAAACGTGTACTCCCTTGGCTTTACATTCTTTGGAAAGGAGTGAGCCAGCGGAGACGAGGAGAGACTTGTTCCAAGTTGCGCCTAGCCCTGACCCGCAGGGAATGCAGAGGCCAGGGTTGCTGGCGAAGAACTTGGAGCCGCGGAATCCATTAGCTCTGTCTGAGAATTTGATTGAAAGGACAGGGAAGTGAGGGAGGGGGTTTGTATGCCAAAAATCAAGGCCTGAGCAAGGGAATCTGTCAGCAAGTGGTTAACTAGGAGAAGGAGCAGATAATTTTCACCCGATGTGATGGACAAATTTTCCTTGACCGAAGCCTCCTCGATAATCCTATCAATATCCATTGAGTGATTGAGATTGTAATGAAGAATGACTATTCTGTCAAAGAGTATAGGCGAAAACGAGACAATGGAAACTGGAGTAGAAGTAAATCGGTATGAGATATCAGCCTTGTCTGAAAGCCTTGTGTACTGGTGGCTTGGTTGTGAACTTTTTCCATGCAAGATTGTGGACAACCTCTAGATGTTCCACGGTCGCCCACCCCGTATTTGGCATGTAGTATTGACAGATTATCTCGCCATGTATTCTGGGGATCTGGGGATCTAAGAAATTGCATCCAAAAGCGGGCGGGACGATGTCCCACCAGTAATTGACTGCAGACTTCAAGTCTTGCTGTCTTTTCTGGTTCTGGTAAGTCTCTAAGCAAGGCAGTACCATATATTATAGATAAGAAAGCTAGAAGTAGTATGAAAAGCAAGACTTTCAGCGCGGCATTCTCTGTGTATATGTGATCAGATCCACTGAGGAAGACCGCAGGTTCCCAAAAAATCAACAAATATACATAGAGGTAGCTCATAGTGAACCTTCTATACAGAAATAAAGCCCAGTGAAAACACCCAACATGGGATATGTACCCAGCTCTGTGATAGAGATAGCTTTTTGAATCCGCTCCTTCAGCAGATTTCTCGGTATCTGTTGCATTTTCTCGGCTAAGGTCCTGAGATATCGCGAAAGCTATGATTGAAACTATACGGTTGAATGAGAACTGCTAGAAACTGATAAAATCGCTATTTGCTTCAATAAGATGAAGTGAAAGTTGATAACATGCTATATGATAAGGTGAGGGATTAAGATCTCGAATAATTTGAAATAAAGACGAGATTGACGACAGATATACAGAACAAGACTGGGAGTCGTCGGGTATGAAAAAGCCAACAAGCCAAGTAATAAGAACGACTACGGTAGTGACCATTAGCTGCCGCTACGGGAAACATAGACCAACTTGGACATAAGTCGACGATATGCTTCATTGGAAGTCAAACAAGACCAGATGAATCTCGGATTGACGAGCAGCAAAGTGACAAGGAAGGGTGTGGGTCAGTCAAAGGTGTTAAGGCAATCAATAAATCACGTGGCCTTCGGCTTCGCTTTTAAATTTCCCCATCAATAGTGGTTCACGGTATTGCAGTATCGAAGTCTACAGCCGAGTCGGCACACCTCGGGAAATATATGTGCGATATAATCTGAAGCATAAGTAGAGCATATTTCCTTGTCATTTTCGATATCTACAACGTTTCGTCTCTTCTACCCTCCCCCCACCTTTCGAATTCGACGAGATGGACTCAAAGCAGTTCAAGGAAGCTGCTACATCAGCAATCGACGAGAGTTCGTGCCCCTGAGCTGCACGAACCTGTCAAAAAGACTGATAAGCTTAGTCGTCAACTACTACGAGACGATTGAGGACCGCAGAGTAGTCTCTAACGTCGAACCCGGGTACCTCAAGAAGCTCCTCCCAGATGGACCGCCACAGGATGGAGAGTCATGGGGAGATATTCAGAAGGATATCGAGAGTAAGATCGTACCAGGACTCACCCACTGGTAATAATACCCCTTAAGAACATCTACCACAACTAATTCTTGCAGGCAATCCCCCAATTTCATGGCCTTCTTCCCCGCGTCCTCTTCTTTCCCCGGTATGCTCGGCGAGCTCTACTCGGCAGCATTCACAGCTCCAGCATTCAACTGGATCTGCTCTCCCGCAGTCACCGAGCTCGAAACCATAGTCCTGGACTGGCTTGCAAAGCTCCTGAATCTGCCAGACTGCTACCTCTCGACAAGCCACGGAGGAGGGGTAATCCAGGGCTCGGCGTCTGAAGCTATTGTTACATCAATGGTTGCTGCTCGGGACAAATACTTGCGTGAAACAACGTCACACCTGTCAGGAGCGGAACTGGAGGATGCGATCGCATACAAGAGGAGCAAGATTGTAGCCCTGGGCAGTGAAGCGGCACATAGCTCCACACAGAAGGCGGCGCAAATAGCGGGGGTCAGATACCGCTCAATACCCGTTTCGAAAGACACCAACTTTGCTCTTACCGGTGCTGGACTAGAAGAAATGCTGAAACAGTGCAAGGCTCAGGGATTGGAGCCATTCTACCTCACCACTACCTTGGGGACGACTGCTACATGCGCCGTCGATGATTTTGGGTCAATAGCGGCAACTTTGGCGAAATATGCTCCTCCGAACGTCACTGGCGAAATCTGGGTACATGTTGATGCTGCATATGCTGGTGCGGCTCTTGTATGCCCAGAGTACCAGCATCTCACTGCTTCACTCGAGCATTTCCACTCCTTTGACATGAACATGCACAAGTGGCTCCTCACAAACTTCGACGCCTCGTGTTTGTTTGTGAGAAAACGCAAAGATCTGATTGATGCTCTATCCATCATGCCAAGCTATCTACGCAATGAGTTCTCAGAAAGCGGTCTTGTCACGGATTACCGAGACTGGCAGATCCCGCTCGGGAGACGATTCAGATCATTGAAGATTTGGTTTGTAATGCGAACCTATGGTGTCAATGGACTGCAGGCTCATATCAGGAAGCACGTCAAGCTTGGCGAGATGTTCGCCGACCTGCTGAGGACGAGGGAGGACCTCTTCAAGATTGTCACCGGACCGACTTTCGCGCTTACTGTCTTCACTATTGTACCGAAAATCGCGGGCAAAGAGGAGCAAGATGCGATTACGAAGGCGGTGTATGAATTGATCAATAAACGGGGCGAGATATATATCACTTCAAGTGTTGTGGCTGGCGAGTATGTGATTAGGGTGGTCAGTGCCAACCCAATGGCGGAGGAGAAGTTCTTGAAAAAGGCGTTTGATATCCTGGTGGATACTGCTGAGGAGCTGCGGGATGGGAGGCCGAGTAGGAGGGGGGTAAACGGCGCTATTGTGAATGGCAAAGGCGAAGGCGTTGGAGAGGTTGCCGTTTTGAATGGGAATGGAGCTGCTGCGGTATAGATATCAAATAAACGTTGGAGAAAACACGATCTGTTGTTACAATTTCTATTCGTACGGATTGACCTTGACCAGTATGATATGTCTTTCGATTCTGACATGTCTAGACGGCACTCTCCTCACCCGGCAAGCTTGCTTGCTGGAGGTATATATATTCGAACCTGACCCGAACTTAGTCAGCGGAATCTCAAGCCCACCTTTTCTGGCGCTCTCCAGAGTCCATGTTCTTTTTCATTAGTCTAGATGGAAAAAAAAACCCCCAGTTAGCTAGGCGATTATTTGTCGTCGCGAATCGTGTCTCTCTCTCCTTCTTTGCCCTAGGCCTCTAGATGCCCCCTCCTTCAGGTCTCCCTATCACTCCTTCCCAACGGTATCTATAAATATCAACAACGTATGTGTGTGGGCGTGCAAGTGTGGGCGTATGAGTTTCAGCATATATATTTATATTTATAGATATTATTGAGAACGGTTGTATTCGTTACTTGACTGTCAAATACTCTTGACTGTAAAGTTTGCCTTCGGTTGAAGGTTGCTAGCGACGGACGGGCTACGATTGGTTGGTTTGGTTTGATTAGTGGGCCCCGGTGTAACCGCGGTGCAAAAAATTTTAATGAGTAAGTATAGCCCCGCACCAGCTCCGGAAACATATCAATAAGATCTTGCGATCAAGATAAATCCCTCGTGGCGCAATTGGCTAGCGCGTTCGACTGTTAGTCTCTAGAGTACCGGCCGGTGCATGTCTGCGATCGAGAGGTTGGTGGTTCGAGCCCACCCGAGGGAGATACTATGGCTCAAATTGTGACTTTTTTCTTCTTGGAAGTACTTTTTGTCGTTGACTGACGATTTTTTTGGAGGGTGGGGGTGGGGGCTTGGATTGTGGAATTGAGGGAGGCGAGCCGAGGCAGCCATGAGAATCGTTGGATCACGGGTAGGTGATGATTTTTTTCCTCGCGGAGGCATAAAAATAATTATTCTAACTTTCCTGCAAGTTTTTTTTTTTTTTGGGAAAACTTATAGCCTAGGGTAATACTGTGATATCATTACTTGCAATGAATGTTATGATGATGTTATCAAGTGCAAATATCCAATTCGACTTGTTTCGCCTGTCACGCTCCATCCGTGGACAATGAATATTTCCCCGAGGAAGGCGCGAGTTTTCTTGATTGTTGATATCTTCTTCGCGTTTGAGACCGACTAGCCTTTTTCACTTGTCTATGTTTACAGTCTGTCTCTTGGTTCGGATATGATGGATTCGAAAGCTTCGGTTTGAGCTGCATTAGATCTTGCGCCCTGCGTCTGAACCTCCTCGTATTTGGTGGGTCAACATTATTCATGTCTGGGCGAATAGTTGACAGAAGACCTTGGTGCTTCGTATTGCAGGTCATATTGAGAGAGGAGGTAATTGGTTCTCTTACAGATAGAAGTACGTGGTATCGATATTTACTTCAATATCTACGACTGTATTGGTGGAGACTTTGGCCAAGTCCGAGGCTTGATATATTTTCCGAGTCCCAATTGCTTGCTTGACTTGGGACTCCGAACTTCATACCACCAGATAAGGCTCTTGAACCTCAGAACGGGTGAAAGAAATATGTTTGTAGCTCGTGGTCATTATCCAAGATTCAACTGAATTTAAACATAAATTTCCCAAGTCACTTCTACTGTCATACTATGGAAACAGCTAGGAAAATATAAGAACTCGGAGAAGTCCCAGACTTCTGGTGGCCGAACATCGATCAAATTGATACAGAATCGCTTTTTATCTCGAATGTATAGCTGTTCGCGAGGCTTGAATCTGTAAGCTTCCAAGGTCTGTGATCGTAGCCTTTATTGACTCCAGTTCCAACTTTAGCACGCACCAAATTTTCCTGGAATTGTGAAATTCAAATGGAGCTTAGATACAACTGTCTCCTTTGAATGCTCTATCTATCTCCGAAGAATTTGGCAGAGTGCCGTGGCATACGTTGGTCATAAGTAATGGGGGAAGGATGGTATTTACTTCGCTTGGACTGGAAAGGGAGTAAGAGGAAACTGAAACTGATACAACAAGTCCATAATCAAAATAACATGTTTTAAAAATCCATGGCCAATTCTTTATAGCTCTTTGAGCGTTCTCCAGATGATATGAGTTTCTGAAACTCATCATGGCTGCGGCCCCAAAGCTGCCAGTAGCTCTTTCTTCCAAGTAGGCTGCCGAAACTACCCAAAGTAAACTTACCAATTCAGCTTTGAGATCAGATTCGGGCGTCTCTCGTCGCGCCACTTATTCTCTTCAGCTTCCGATCATGATAGACAGGTAGTTTTCCGCCTTTGAAATATCTCTTCTTTCGACATATCTCTTCCTTCGACACATCTCTTCCTTCTCGGCCATTTACCCCACAAACTATCACGTGCTGGGCTATCTTGGCAGATCAGCTAGGTACGATGGCCAAGCTCAAGAACGTATCTACTCCGCGACGGGGGAAACAAGGCAGATCCATCATGTCAACAGGAGTTGATGCACCAAAGAGGGAAACCCCTATTCTTCCTCCGCCCAGCTCCATCCCCCAGAAGCGCGTCCTCGAGGATGACCACGTCCCCGCCGTATCCTCCCCGTTGAACCCCGACTTCAAGTCCAGGGCGCAAGATGATGCTCCCCTCGCGCGCGATCGCGTCTCGAGAGCAAAGAAGGAATCACTGAAGAAGCGCGAGTCCAAGGCAGGATCTATTGCGCCAGACTCTAGCGCGAGAGCTGCACCGGACCCCAAGACCGGCGCGAAAAGTAAGAAGAAGGAGGAGGCACTGGAGCCCGTCCGGTTATACCTACCTCCGCCCAAGCCCTCGGATTTCGAGCCACCCAGAGGACCCATATTCATACCAGCAGATACCAGACCGAACGCCCAAGGCCTCGAGATCACTTTCAATGAGACCACCGACCAGTGAGCTGCTCGAAATTGGGTTGTTTTATGGCAGCTAATTGTCACAGTGTCTATAACAAGAAGAACTTCCACTACACCCACTGCATTGCAGACCCCGCCTTCCCGTCATCTCTCTTCTACCGACAGACAGAAACCGAACCCTTTGGCCCGCGATTGAACTTCGAAGACACGTCTACCCATATGTTCCTCGATGAGTCCGGCAAGCATGTTACGACGGACAAGGGCTTCAGAATGGCGAAGTCGAATGTGTGCGTCCGGGAGGGACGATGGTACTACGAAGTTAGAATCACCAGTGGGATTCCGAAGCGGAAGTCGAGCACGCATGGTAGTGGAGGCGATGGTTCTAACGGACATGTGCGTATCGGCTGGGCGAGACGGGAAGCTACATTGGATGCGCCGGTTGGGTTTGATGCCTACAGCTACGGAATCCGCGATGTTGCAGGCCAGAAGGTTTTCATGTCGCGACCAACCAATTTCTTTCCGAATAACGAGGATATCAGAGAGGGCGACGTTATTGGACTGGAGATCAATTTGCCTTCCGAGTCACTTCATCGCAAAGTTGTGGAGGGCCAGTACAATCCCGCGGTCGACCTGGAGGACGAGGGAAATGTGGGGATCGAGAGAGCTGATATCGTTCGCGACCGGGTACCAATTCGATACAAGACACATTTGTATTTCGAGCAGGTCGAATACCATGCCACGAAGGAGCTGGAGGAGTTAATGAACCCTTCTCCGGTCATTCAATCAACCGGTGGAGTGGGAGGATCAGCGCAACAACCTGGACCAACACACCCAGTGCCCTCTCTCCGTACCCTTCCTTATTCGAACATCAAGGTCTACAAGAACGGAGACTACGTTGGCACGGCGTTCAATAACCTACTCGCTTTCCTCCCGCCAGCCTCGAAGCCTTTGATCCAGGTTGGAGGAGCCAGAGAAGGATTGGATGATGGTATGCTGGGATACTACCCTGCGATATCCGTCTTTAGAGGTGGAGCCGCCGAGATCAATCTTGGTCCGGACTTCTGGTGCCCACCACGCAGCGAAGGAGAAGCCGAAGATGAGGCTGACAGGACTGGAAGCGATCAAACTAAGACGAAGAAGAAGCCACCGAAGCTCCGAGCAGCTGGCGAGCGATACGAGGAGCAGATCGTGGAGGACATTGTGTACGATATGATCGACGAGGTTAATTACTGGATGCAGGACGGAGGCGTCAGCGGAACAGAGGCCACAAACGGCGTGCGCTCTTCTTTTGCTTCCGTCCACAGCGGAATTTCTGGCGGCGTTCTGGGCTCTGAGGAGATCAAGGAGTTGGTTCAAGAGGACGACTGATTTCCGCTTGAGAAACATGGCGTTTTACGATAGCTCATGTGTGCATTTCCAAACCCTGCTTAAAAGTCATAGCGAGGTCGGCATGCGAGACTAACTGGAAATTCAAAACGGGGAGCTATGCTACGGACCTCGTGCTACGAGACAAGACGAGGAGAAGATGCAGCTTTGTAATGAAGGGCCAAAGATGGAAGTGGTAAAGGGGTGATAGGCAAGATAAAAAGTGTGCAGAACAGGTCGTCAGAGGGGCTGGGCACGGCTCTGGATAAGATGTCTCTCCACCGCAATAAGGGGTAGATAGACTGCCACAGCCACTTAATTGAAACCAAATTCTCAAATCTCACCCATCGATCTGGAGAACCCCAGAGCTTCAGCACTGTTGCGATTTGGAAGTGATAGATGCAATTTTTGGGTGAAGGGGAAGGGAAGCAGCACATCTTAACAGCCTCCTTTTTTTTCCACTTTTCCAACAATTTTTTTTTCCAGCCCTGAAATGCCACTAACTCCTACACATACCCAAGTACGTCTCTCGATCTCGTCAAATTGGTTGGTGTGGCTCAGTGGTAACACTTAAGAGGCAGTAATTTCCGGAAATGATATCCCAAGACACCGTAATCGAAATAACCTGTTCAGTCAGGTTTGTAGATTGGACCCCCTCGATACGTGGGTGTCCAGTTGAGTTTTGGTATTTTTTTGGTCGGTGGTTAAAAACAAACATATGAATTTTCTTTTTCTTTCTTTTTTGGGGGGGGGGCGGGGGCAGACTTGCGATTCTGGCCCGTCCCATATCGACGGACGATTGAACTCTGCGAACGGTATTCGGGCATCTGTTTTTTGGCACTGTTGCCGTGATCCAGACTACCCGGAGCGCTTTGGTACAGGTACATAGATAGCTAGCTGGTCGATTCTGATGACGGGGGTTATGCTGAGGAACGATTGGATTGATGAGGAAGGAGAATATAGTACTACTCCGCACACACTGTAGAAGGTCCGAGGATGGATCATGACTCGGCATCTTGAACGCGCGGGCGGATATATATATATATATAGGTATGTAGTTGGACGATTGCCCTTTCGGATCTGATGCATGCTTTTGCATTAACTGGATACCAGGTCCGCCGCCTCGTTCGACGCTGGTCTTGTCCATGTAACTGAGGAGCATCCCGGTAGATGGACGGTCAAGAGGATTGGAAAGGTGATAAGGGCTCAGCAGGCTTTGCTGAGATCTGGGTATCTCCTCTTTGTTCTTCTCTTGCTTTATGCTACGCGGTGAGTGCTTTGCAATATCTTGCAAGTGTTCAGGACTTCGCAGTGCTTGTCAGCCGTGCCGGCTCGAAGAGGAAGGTTGGCGCTAATGGATTGAACTCTGTTCTCACCAATCTTTCGACGGGGACTTGTGTATCTAAACTACGGAATGAATTATGTTGATAGATTTATTTCGACGATAGACTGAGGAGGAGGGAATTTGGATCATCTCTTCTGTCTCTCATCCACATTCATCATCAGCAACTTCAAAATCTCATAGGCTCTGAGAACCCGATGAGCAAGGCACGTGAATCGGTAGTGATAGAGGTAAATAAAAACAATACCAAGCCAAGCCAACCGACAAACAAGACGACCCCGAAAGTCCCCCTAATGCCAAGAGCCCGTCGATCTGCAAAGCTTGTATTTATTCTAGGTGATCGCTTAGAGAACAACAACAGACGGAGGTACAGCGGTTATGTCTTCCCCTTTTGTCCTGATCCCCTACGGACACGAGCTCAATCAGGCAATAACTTCGCGGTCTCCGCTACCTACCTCACCTCCCCAGGGATACATCGCACAGTACTTCCTCGCTTCAGGGACCCAACTATCACGTGGAGTAAACACCCTATGTACACGCACGTAAACCGTCAACCCCAAGCTTTTCTGCTCGTCGGTGATCCATCGCCATGTAGAGACGTACCAAGAATCGCCTCGCCGGGTAGCATGATAGACGGAGTGTGGGATAGCGAGGATCTCCTGTTTGCTCAGGGGGCCGACGACATTGAAGTCGTACATGAACCAGGCCCGTCCTTCGTTTGGCGCGTCGAGGTTTGGCAGGATGTGCGTCGCATCGTGACATTCGGCCTGGAGGTCGTCCGCGTATGGGCGAGAGAGGATTTGTTGGCAGAAGTCTCGTCCGAGGCGATGAGGTCGTGCGTGCGGGTCTCCTGGGATGTCCGTGACGCAGGCGCGAATGATGACGCGTGTTGGGGTTGGTGTTGGTTTTGGTGTTGGGGTGCTAGTTGGTGAGTTGTCCATGTGTCTTGGTCGGCTGTGGCGGGTTTCGATGCACACCTCGAGGAGGAGTGAAGGAGGGAAGACGGACGGGATGGATAAGGGATGGATAAGGGATGGATACCTGGGAGTATGGTCTCTCTGTTTTCAGTAGAGAGAGGAAGACGAAGATGGAAAAGAGAAACCTCGTCTACAGATGAGAGGGGCAAGCAGTAGTCACAAGGGCTACTTCGTGTAACCTCGTGACCTGAATAGTAGTTATCCCGACAAGTCTCCACACCAGCAGCGAGGAAATGTGTTTCCAGGCTGATAGGCTAATCGAATTCAAGCTTCGCAACTTCTGTATTGCGGTCTTACACCCATTAGCAGGCTCAGCTGGTACATACGACCATAGACTGAGGAGAATTGGGCATCCCGTTCGCTCTGCCATACACAAGCCTCAGATCGGCAGATTAGTAGTTGGGTGGGTGACCACCAGCGAATACCTGCTGTTGTATGTTTTTGCTTTCTGGTCTATGACAGACTTTTGAGTCTACGAAGGATTATCAATCGTACCCACTTACTTCGTAATCCGAATCCAGTTGATGGTCGTGAGTAGTGTTTGTTGGTAACTTCTTTTTTCTTTTCCCGAGAGCAACAAATTGAATTCTTACTCGGATTGTCCGACTATTACATTTTTTGTATTCCATCCATGTCTGTCTTCTATCTTATCAGTGACCATATTGAATTCGACTCCGAGTTCTTTGCTGATGTTGCTGATGTTGGTATCTACCTTCCACAGCCAATTCACTCTAAGTAGCTACTGTCACGGGTCAAGAGGGACTCCGTGAGAAATTGATCTTTTGGCTTCCTTGGGCCCCCATTATCAGTTGTTACCGCCAGCCGCAACCTCTTGCGATAGCTGGTGCATTTGCACTGGAGATATCGCAAATACTGTACTGGATTGAAAGGGGCGAACTTCTGATGCACGCTACGTCGGCGCACATTGAAGGGGAGCTGACTGAGCCCCGCGCGGCGAGACATCAGATTTTTTTACTCGATACCCCAATGCTTTAGCCTTGCACGGGCGCGACTAGTCCAATGCACCAACTAACTACTACAGGTATGGGGGGAGGCGGAAACAATGGTTGCTACCCGCCCCTCTCAATCGTGCACTTGGATAGGGCTGTCGTCTAGGCTGACAGCTCCTTTCGGATCCCCCCTCTTTTCCCCCCCAAGGACGCTCATGTCTTCAGCCCTTCGGTTTTCCACTTGAAAATCTGTCAGGAACACAGCCGACACTCCTTCCCTTCACGTCAGCGCCGACGCGGCGTCAGATTCTTGTGATGCTACACTTCCTGTCACCCGCTCAGAGGATGTCCCAATCCCTGGATCTCTGCAAGTCCGCGCTTTGACGCGCGTCTGTAACAGCGACGATCGGACTTTTGACGGCGGACTGGTGGCAGAAATCTTGGGGATGTCCGTAGGCCTGCCTGGGCCAACCTGCCAGTGCGTAGCGTGCCAGTAGAGGGGGGGGGGGGGGAGGGGACGGGACCTGCTGAGGTCGGGGGATGTGGTGGCTAAGCGAGCGAAACCAAATAGGGTTCGAAACATTTAACGAACGTCACAAAATACACCACAACGTCTCCTAGGAGGTCGATGGCTCATCGAACGAGTGACAGCGCTCTCGATCCCTCGTGGCACATTGGCTCTGCAGACATCGTCCGAACGCAGACGGCCGCAATGAAGGGCACCGGTGGGTTGAAACTCTGAGGCTGACAATGGTCCGGGGAGGAAGCCCGAACTCTTTCTGCAGGGTGCAGATGAATGTGCCATGCATGTACCACAAGATGGATCATACCGGTGTTGATACGCAAGCCTCTGACACTAGCATCCTGCAATTGGACGTCCGGGCTGAGTGTTTTGTCTGGAGAAGCAGCTTGGGATCCGTTCAACCTCTCTATTGTTTACATAAATACTCCGACCTCGAGACCGATCTTCTACATCAACCATCATCACCATAATTACCATAATCACCATAATCAACATCATCATCATCATCCTCTTCTCCATACTACATTCAACTCCCAACAACAATACCAACAACTCTCAACCAGACTATACCATACCAGCAAGTTTCCACAATGAAGTTCATCTCCATCACCGCAGTCAGCATCTCGGCTAGCCTTGCCGCAGCAGAATTTGGTCCCGGCGGACCCAGTGGATGGGGAATGGGCGGCGATGGCTGGGGTGGAGCCGGTTTCGGCGGCGGCGAGGCCGACTGTGCTGTTAGTTCTTCCACTCCTCGAGGCTCCTCTCCTTCTTCTTCTTCTCCTTCTCCTACTAACAGAATACTTAGCAACCGTGCTTCTCGTCCGCATTCCCCACGCAAACCGCCGCCTGGTCGAGCGCCTGTGCCTCGCAGAGCGCTCTCGACCAATGCGTTTCTTCGGCCTGTTCGACCTCGACCTCGGCCGCGTCGGCCGTCTCCAGCGTCGCGTCCAAGTGGTGCTCTGCCTTCTCCAGCTGCTCTGGCCAGGGGAACGACTGCTACGGCGGCGAGTGGGGCTGGTTCGGTGGCGGCCCCGGATTCGGAGGCTGGGGCCCTAGCACCGGGACCGATGGGCGTTTCACCGTCACCGTCACGAACTCCAACAGCGCAACCGTAAGCCGCATCCTCCCTTTTCCTCCTTTTCCCTTCTTCTCCTTCCCTCTTCTCCCTTTCCTCCTTCCCCCCTTCCCTCATCAAGCGAGACAAAAAACCCGCCGCATCTTCTCCTAACGCATCCCACCACAGGGCCTCACAACACGCACCGTCACCGTCACCCAATCCACCAGCGGCACCCGCACCCAGACGCGCAGCACCGCCACCCAGACGGGAACCTTCGTCTTCGCCGCGGCCCAGGGCACGGCTGACGCGACGGCATCCGCGACGAGCACCCCGACCAACACCAAGAACGCGGCCGCGCCGGCTATCACGGGCGGTGCGGGCGCCGGCGCGGGTGCGCTGGTCATGATGGCGCTGGGTGCGCTTATTGCGCTGTAGGTACCTAGAGTCAGAGCTGAGCAGAAAGAGATATGAAAAAAAAACAGGGGGGGGGGGGGAGCAGCAGAGAGATCTGCCCATCTTATTGATAATAAGCCACGTTTATTTGCGGGCCGAGAAGACGCGAGGGAAAGCGCGTTGGGGACGTTGAGGTTTGCATGTGGGAATACCACGTGCGTTGACTCCGGTGATGAGCGGGTTCTTGTTGTGGGTATCTCTCGCGATGAGAGTAATGAGGATGAGGCGGTGCGAATACGATAATGTCATGTTATGTTATGGCCTTTTTTTCTTTTCTTCTTTTTTTTTTTCGTTTGTCTTGAGTTGAGTGGAGTTGAGTGGTCTGGGTCTGATCTGATCGACCTCTTTTCCCTCCTTTCTCTCTCTCCCATTTCCCGAGCGTCTTATATCCATCCACCTCTGTACGTTAACATGCCAAAATCGCTCGTTGGATCTATCCCCTGAGAGGAGGAGGAGGAGGAGGAGGAGGGAGGGTCTCGTTTCCTTTTACCGTAAAGTGATCTCGTGCGAGCAGGGAGGGCAAGATCGAAGTGTCTAGAACATTTTAGAGCCGAGAGGAAGATCTGAACGTCTAGAACGTCGAGAACACGGCCGCCCGCTCTCGATAAAACCTCGTACATAGGTATTGACATTGCCGTCCCGAGGACCCCGCATCCCCGCGCCCGTCTCCGTGATTATACACCGTCTTGTCTGTCTCCTGCTCAATATGTTCCCGGTCCCATTCGCTATGCTATGAGCCCCCCCGTTCCCTCCGGTTGTCCGTCCGGCTTCGCTAGCTATCGACCCTTTTTTTAAATGATTCATTCCGCGCTCCCTCTCTCCTTGCCTCCCTCCCTTTCCAACGCCTGGCGCTCCCGCATCCCATGAACGATAGTGTCGCGGTACCTGCCTACCTACGCACGCACATTACATATATATGCGTACGTGACCCAAAAAAAAAAGAAAAAAAAAAATAAAGATAGATAGATAGATAGAGAGATAGATCAAACCGCCCTCTCACTCCATCTTCAACCCACGGTGAGCGCGCCCCCCATCACAGTCTCGCTCGGCCGTCTCGGCGCCGAGTGGGACGACCGGCGCGACGAGGACGCGCTGTGCCGCCGCTGCTCGTGCTCCTGGTACAGGCGGCGCAGCGCGGAGATGTACTCCGGCCCGGAATGCGACGTGCCCCGGATCTCGCGCAGGCGCGCGCGGATCGACATGCGGCGGTCGCTGGGGGGCGGCACGAGGGACGTCGCGGCGGCGGGGGTGGCGTCCGGCGGCGCGGCGGGGTTGTCGTGACTATTACTGGTGTTGGTTTCGCGATCGGGCGGCGCGGGTGTGGGTGTGGTGGTGGTGGTGGTGGTTGTTGTTGCTGCTGCTGCTGCTGCGTCCGGAGGACTTGTGCTGTCTGAGGGGGGATTGGATGAAGAGCCTGGTTCGAGTTCGTAGCGGCTGTGAGGGAGAGGAAAGGAAGGGAAAGGTTAGCGCTGTTTTCTCTTGGGGCGAAGGAAGAGAGGGGGAGGGAGGAGGGGAGAAGCTCACCAGATGGGACATGTCCCCGAGACGTTCAGGAGCCACGGGTCTACACATGCTGGATGGAATGTGTGGCTGCAGGGGAGGAGGCGGACCTCCTCGTTCTCGACAAAGTCTGCGATGCAGATGGCGCACTCGAAGCCCGGCTGGCGCTGCTCCGGTTCCTCCTTGACCGGATGCCTGATCTCCGGTATGATCTTGTCGGCAGCGATGTCCTCCGCCTCGGTTCGATCGCTGCTGTTGTTTTTGTTATTATGGTTACTGCTGTTGTGATTATCGTCGTCGTCGTCGTCGATGGTGTCGCCCTTCCCGTGGGGATTGTTCCGCGTCGTACCCGAGACGTCCTCTCCCAGCCCGGCCTCCCCGAGCTCCGCATCCTTCTGGACGTCCTTCTCGGAGGTCTCGGTCTTGACCCCAAAGCGCACGATGGGGATGCTTTCCAGCACGGCCATCGCCAGCCCTTTGTTCCGGGTCTGCCGTACCCGGCCTGGAGCTGCCGCCCGGGGCCCGTACCGCTCGGGATGCCGTCGTGCTCGGGTACAGGCGATGGACAGGCCCACGAGGAAAAAGAGGACGAGCAAGCCGGTGATGCTAAAGAAGATGACGATCGCGAGGGTAGTAAAGCGAGGCGTCTGCGGCCCCGCGTCCGGTAACGCTGAGGGCGTCGGCTGGGAACTCATCTTGCTGCGGAGTATACGTCCTCAGTGATGAGGTAGTAGGTACTTAGGTACTCGATTGCTTCTGCTGCCGGCCAACGGTGTGTGTGTCGCGCGCATAAAAGGGGTTTTCGATGTCTGTGAGGTCTGTGGTTTATGATCGGGACGATGGGGGGGATACGATCTGCCTCTATCTAATGCGAAACAATTTCCAAAACCCGCTCTCTATTTGATATATATCAAATAAGCTATGGACGTATTGGGGGGAGCGGAGAGCGGGTGGTAGGAAGTAACAGCTGCGGGCTCGAAACCTAGGTATGACGGACGTTGACAAAAGTCCCGGTGGCTGAGTTCGGGAGACCAGCTAGAAATTCGAGAAACGGCTTCCAGTGATGGCCATATCTGCATATCTAAGCACTTTTGTGTAGGATACAAGCATTCCAACCTCGGCCTGCCACCGACCTCTGGCCCAACTTCCAAGCCGGCGGGCACTCGGCCAGACCGTACCCAAAGTATAAATACCACCACGGCTACGTCGTACGGAAAATGAAGGACGAGGATGGCCGAAGTCTCTTAAACGAGCCCCGGGTAGCCAGTCACATACCTGGTGTGTTGGGTAGCGTGACCATCATGCACTCCAGGGGATCCAGGTCGGTTTGTAAGTAAATAAAGACTTCCCCCTACAGTACCGACAGTAGTAGTACGGAGCTCACCCATCTGGCTGCACAGCCCCCCGGTTTGATTCGCTTAACTCGAATAAGCGAGTGCTCTCTGCTCTGGAGTCTGCGCTCCGAGGAACCCGTCCGTACTGTATGTAGTCCCTTATGATGCCGCCGCCAATTTTTTCCCCCTCTCAACCGTCTGCGTCTGCAGAGTTTGCCGTCCCAACCCGGGATCGGGAACGACCCGAAGCCGGCTGAGAGACGACGCGGGTTCCGTCGCCGGTGGCAGAGGGGAAGTCAACACGCTTCTTTCTCACTTGCCAGCAGCAGGGTGCAGGATCGTCGCTTGTGTGTCTCGATTCATTCTCCACCCCCGGCGTACCACTCTCCGTACTCGGCTCAATAGTTTATTATTAAGGCTCTTTATTAAGCACTTTAGACTTTCGAAGCTCGTCCATCACTTCGAGATAAGAAGGCTGGCAGCAGAGTGAGCTAGGTAGTACTACGTATAGTACGTACTACGTACTACGTACTACTAGTAGCTGCTGGTGCTTGGTCGGTCCTCGGTCTGGCGACGTCGGTCCATGTATAGAACAACACCTGCAACGCACCACGTCTTACCTAGAGGGATTTCCGCCGCCCCGTGAAATCCCACTGCGCTCGCTCAGTTTTATTTTTACCACGTCCCATATCCGGTGTGAAATCTTTGCTAAATCGAGAACGCCAGGTCCGCTGCAGATCTGTCGCGACGAGAAGCAGGGTCTCCGTATTGCGGGTCTCGATTAGCGTTTAATACAGTATGATCTGGTACTGTAGAACGGGCCTATCTCGGGTGGCAAGGGCTATATTAAAGTCCCAGTGCTAAATAAGATACCTACTCGAAGAGAGATTGGAATAGGAATTCGAGATGGGAGATTGGAGATTTCCCGCGCATCGACATCGGTGGAATCATGATTATCATTTCGCATTTCGGAACTGCTGATCCTCAGCGCTGCTCTACTTATGCCAGCCATGTACGTAGTATTTATTCCCTTGTGCGCGTCAAGTACCACGGTACAGGCTTAAGTATTACCCCTCGAGGGTGCCTCGAAAGTTTGGTTTCCACTTTAAAGCCCCTGGTTATCCTCCCCTCGAGGGGTAATAATAAGTACTTACGCCTGTCCCGTGGGTACGTGGTACTACTACTACGTACTACGTACTACGTACTTGGAAGAGTCTACTATCCCCTGCATTATAAATAGTTGCAAAACCAGGGACGGTCCCCAGGGTCCCAAGGGCGGCACAGGCCGAAACACAGCGTACAGAGTAGTAGTAGTAGGTAGTATTTCTAAAAGAGGGGGGAGATGGCAATAGAAACCCGTGTTCTTTTATCGTTCAGCTCACGCGCCAGCTGGAGGTCTGCCTCTCCATCTCGCTAACTCGCGCGGCCCGCATACTGTATCTGTCTACCGTACCTTACTTAGCATATCCCCCGACCCCCCCCTCCGCTTCCCTCTGGATTTTCTGAGCTTCGATCTTACTACGTAGAATCGCTCGAGAAGCGCGATGCGAATCGCGTCTGCCTAACCCAATCTGACATGGTCAACTCTGATTGTGTGCATATAGTTTCCATTTAGAATTCCGTTGTGTGCAGCGGCATTCACTGAGTTTCGAGTGTTTAAGGCCGGCGGCGACATCCTGACCCGCCATGTTCGGATCTTCTTTGGCCTTCCCTTTCACCTCTCTACTGTACCGGTAGGTACTTGAGGTGAGCCTTGGCGTCCTCGACGGACAGCTAGTAGTAGTAAGTCGCAAAGCTCAAAGATTCTTTCCCCTTCCCCCTTTTTGCAAGAGAGACAGGGCCGTCGAGGTGGCACGAGTCAGAAGACAATCAGACTCAAGAGTCTGCCTATCCGTGCAACCCTTGGAATCCTTCCCGCCTTTATTTCTGGGGAGGGGATAGTGTACCTACTACTAGGTACTACGTACAAGTGGGAATAGCATAGGGACGTAGTACCTACTACTACAAGTACTACGTACTACTAGAATCAACGTTATAGCCAAGGGTTTGCTAAAACGGACCGCTCCAAGAGTTAGCGTGAAGATCAGTGATCTGCTTACGTACAATACGAAGCTATTTCCGTGCTTTGGCTTTGGGCTCGACACGATCATGCAAAAATAGATAACATATCTTACTGTGTGTATACCGGTCCATTGGCAATCATATGTGTATCGCGTCGTTGCCGCGTTCTAAAGAATAGAATTGTCGGCGGTGTATGCGAGATCACATTCAAGAGATTCCGCGGGGGGGTTTTTTTTGTTTTTTTTTTTTGCGGCTACGTATGCCGAGCGAACACCACACCATACCAAGCAGAGTCATTCATATCTTTCGTTATCTACGTACGTAGTATGCGGCTATGCCTTCCTCCCATTCTTCTCCGCTATTTCCAAGGAGAAGGGAATAGGTACTACTACTACTACTACTACTACTACTACTACTACTACTACTACTACTACTACGTAGTATTTCAAGGGTCGACGGTCGGATCTATCCCCCACGTCCGTGGCTACGAAAGCTTCTTTCGGTTTTCCTATCTAAGCTAAGCTTTGACATAATGTTCAGCTGATACGTAAGAATAACAAGCAAGGTGGGAGAACAGGCGGACAGACCACATCCGATCTCTTCCAGCTCCTCTGTTAAGTACAGAGCGCATCCATCGCATTATCTACAAGTAGTTGGAGCTGTGCCGTGACCCAAGGCCGGGCAGCCGTAACAGGCAAGGCACGACAGGACCATACAGTAGTATTCAAAGAGCCTAATATAAATATTTTCGCAAGTCAGCAATACAATACTGTACTGTATATTCGTTAACTTTATTTACGCCCTCACCGTGCATACCAATACCATCGACTTCAACACGCCCACTTCACTAGCCTCGAGACCGGCAAGAAGCACGACCCGTCCTCCGCTCAAATCTCGCGGGCCTGTCCTGTTCCTTTCGTCTACGTACCACATACCTTTCTTTACCCTTCAACAGCGTCCGACAGCTGGGCTTCAATCAGCGCGCCTCTCTTACCACCACGCCCTGCGTTCCGGCCAGCTGCTCCCAGTCAGTCCAGAGGCCGTGAAACCTACTCAGGACACGGCTGAGTTGGAGATCACCACAGGCCAGGCCAGGTGAAGCGACATCTCCATCCCATCCGGAAGCGTTCACCCCATACCTGTTCCGGGTCCCGGCTCGGCAACAACAGGCAGATCTCAGAGGCCAGACCTGCCTTACCTTACCTCATCTTGCCTTACCTCATCTTGCCTTACCTCATCTTACCTTACCTCATCTTGCCTTACCTTACCTTACCTCATCTTACCTACATAATCCACCCGCGGGGAACCTGGAGAGAGACAAGCCTCTCACAGCCCTTCCAAAGTACGTAGTACCCCAGCAGTAGCGCTGTCATGTCACCATATTACGTAGTGCCAGGCCTCGCTGCGGATTCCATCCACCCAGACCGCTCGCTCGCTTAGTATTAGCATTACTGATATCGTACCGTACCGTACCGGTACTTGCATTGCCAGCGACGACCGACTTGGCCACAAGCCAACAATCGCCCCGTGAAAAGTTCTCGGAACTAATCAAGAGCAATGCTATCCCTTTTTTTTAAAAAAAAATAAAAAAAAAAATAAAAAAAAATAAAAAAATAAAAAATAACAATATATACATATAATTAATTCTCCCATCAGTACAAGACCCGCAGATAGACCAGCGCCAAAGAAACAAAAGTTCCCACTTTTCAGGACATCGCCCGCGCAACACGCACACTTGCCAGCGGTCGTCACCAGCCCACTTGGACTTTAACTCCCGCATCGCAAGCAGCCTCCACCAGCAGCACCGCGTCTCGTCCGGACGTCTCAAGACCTGGCTCTCGCCAAGCGCGGAACACGTGTACCTACCTACCTAGACTCCCCAACGATTCATGATCGGGGCCGCAAAGCAGGGCCCAAAGGAGGTTGTGGTGGATGGATGGATGTAGTGGATGGATAAATGGATGGAGCGGTGTTGTGTTGATACAGGAGCAGGAGGCTGGACGGTCCGCATGGCGTGATCTTTTAGGAGTCTGCTGCTTGGATGAGTGTGCATAGGAGAGGTGGTCTTACTGGCGGTCATGGCTGATTCGATTGTGAAGATGCCGTCGATGGTTATTGCGCCGTTGGCTTCGGTAGGGAGAGGCGCGCGCGAGGGATCTGGGATTGGAAGGGGCGAAGAAGGGGGTGCTGTTTGCTAGCGCGGATCAATGGGAGGCGGGCGAGGTTTGAGCGGGCCGTCTTTTACATCGCGTTCAGAGCACTCGTCGGGTAGGAGAGGGGAGAGATAAGCTAGAACTTCAAATGAAATTGCGCGAGGACGCAGTGGGTGGGCAGGAAACGGGGCCCGGGAGTATCGACATGCTCCTTCTAACCAAAAATGACTCCCAGACCTAGATAATCTAACGTGAAATTGAAACCACTCCGTCCGTCTACCCCTCGACCAGTGTCCTCAGTGCCTCAATCTCGCCTTTCTTCCACTCAACCACTTTCCCCTGCCACCTCTCTCCCTTCCCACCACCCTTGATGGAGCTCACAACCCCTTTCATCCTCTCGGTAAACGACTCAACCAGCCCCTTCTCACCGACCAAGACAACGGCACCGCCGCTCTTTCCCTCCCCGGACGCCAGGACCACCAAACCTCCCTCTTCCAACTGATCCTTCACCTCAAAACACACAGAGTTGATGAAATCCAACCCTGGTGATGGACGATACACCCAGGCCTTCTTCCCAGCGGCCAAATCGGCTTTCACCCTCTCCCCTTCAAATTTTGCAATCTCCAGGAGCAGTTTGTTCGATTTCCGGTTCAGGTCCGAGACGTTGTCACTCATTCTCTTGACGCTGGAGAGGACGTCATCGGGGGCTGTTCCAGAAGACAGAATCCCGCCGATTGAACGCAGGGAGCGGATCGAGGATGTAGCGAGTCTTATCGCTCGGTCGCCGGCGGTGAAGAACATGCGCGTGTTGGTACCGCGGATGGACTGCGTATGGTGAAGGAGTATCAGTGCGATGTGTGACGTTTGGGCCAGGTGGGTCCCGCAGCATCTTTGGTGCGTTAGATTGTGGGGATCAGAGAGGGGTTTAATGAAGAGGGCATACGGATTCTCATCAATATCAGCAATCTTGATGACCCTCACCACGCCCTTCTCCTTGTCGTAGTCTCCGGGTAGGCTATCGGATTTAGCATCATGAGGCGTCGTCTCGACGGTGATTTGATGGTTGTTGCGGATGGCCTCGTTGCATTTCTCTTGGATGATCTGCATCTCCTCCGCTGAGGGTTTCCGGGGCAGGTCAACATAGTTGACGTCGTTCTCGGCACCCATCCCCCATCCGAGAGTCTCCAGATTATCATATCTGTCCATGACGGCGGAAAGGAGATGCTGGCCCGTGTGCTGTTGCATGTGATCCCATCGCCGCGAGAAATCTACATCTTGACGGACGAGAGTTCCAGGCTTGAGCGGCTTTGAAGATCGGTAGATGCATCGTAAACCTTGTCGCTCGATCACTTTGATCGCAATTGGCTCCTCCGGGGGAGTGCTCAGAGGGGTCAGAGTACCATAGTCAGTCGGTTGTCCGCCACCTTGGGTATCAATCAGCAAATGCCAAGTCACGTGGAGCTTGAGAAACCCATACCCTCGGGAAACAACACAGAGTCGGCACACTCGATCAGCCATGACTTGGAAGGTTCCTCGGGCGCTGCATTCTTGGAGGACTTCTTGGAGCCATTGGCCTTGGCTTGTGGTGTATGTTCGATACACGAGACAACCTCGGACTCTAGAGTTCGGAGATAAGAGTCGTGTTGGCAGGCAAGGTCGCCAACGACCTTTGGGCTGCAGTTTTTTTCTAGCGTAGGCATCCTGAAGATATGAGGCCAACAAAAGACTGCGAAATGAGGCTTCTGAGAGAAAAGATGTTGACGACCAACGCGAAGGCGCAGATTGATTGATATGAGGCGAGGGCCTGGCGCTAAGCGAGCCTAGGCCAGAGTTTAAATCGACCTCGATTTTGACAACGACCAAACTCCTGGGATGCCAAGTGGCAAGACAGACGAGGTAGAGTGCATTTGTTCCCTGGCTGAATGCTGAGAATCTACGTTACAGAAGCTTATCTGACTGTAGGAAATTCTTGATTCCTTTCCCCCTTCCCCAAGGAATTTCCTGCACACCTACTGCTCGCTACCTTACAACACAACTTGTACACTCCGAGGGAGGACATTCAATACTATAAAAGAAAGCATGCATGTGGATCGTTTCCTGCTCCGTACTGAAAAAAAAAAAAAATGGACCCATAGTTACCAATACTGATCAAAGTGGCGTTAATCGATAGCGTTGGTCAATTCCTGAGCTTGCTCTCAATTCTCGCTTTCCGGGTCCCATAACTATAGCGCCAGCATTTTTTTTTTTTGTTAATTGGTATATCTTTTCTCAAAAACTATAGCGGTCAAACACGGGCATAGGACGCCTAGATCTGGGCTATAATGTAACGAGTCCATCTGATTCTGTACTGGGGGAGATTGAATACACCTGTAGTCAGCAGCTGACTTGGCTATCGCGAAATTTACATTTGGGCATTAAATAACCATGTAAGTACAAAACTGTCACATACGACCATAGACTGAGGAGAATTGGGCATCCCGTTCGCTCTGCCATACACAAGCCTCAGATCGGCAGATTAGTAGTTGGGTGGGTGACCACCAGCGAATACCTGCTGTTGTATGTTTTTTTGATTCACTTTTGTCACCATAGATAGGACTTGACGGATCGCATCATCTCGAGCCAACGAGAGGCTGGCATTGTCAAGTCAAAGCGAGTCAGCTGCCTTCTATCACCCTTTTGCACAGCAGAAAGATAAGTCGAGAGAGTAAGCCAGTGAATTGCCAATTCCCAACAAGCTCCATCTCTCCAACTTCACTCAACTACCTACCAGCAGGCGAATCGATCCCCACGCCTCTCTTTCATACTCCCACTACACTATAAGAACTTGAGGTACAACAGAAAGGCGTAAGCCATCCGCTCGCCAACTTTCAGGCAGGAATGGCATAACCTCGAACCCCCACCAACTCGAGACGTATATCCATCTGCCTGTATACCAATTTTCAAACACTTCGCTGCTAAAATCCTTCCAACTCTCATCTTTAATCATGGATTGAAGGCAGATTAGTAACATGAAATAATGACTTCAGCGAACAAGCTGAACGGGTATACAAGCACAGCTAACCTTCCTCGCACTGCCGCCATCTGAAATCTTGCTATCATTGTTGCCATAATCTACCTATACTTAAGAAAACAGAACAGCTCCATCGGTGCTTCCAGGGACCAGGATATGGGCCAGGCGTTGTGCGTGTGGCCTGGCCACCTTCCTCGTTAGCCTTCCCCTGTCTTCCCTCTTTCTCTGATCCGCAAGTCGAGTGGCAGAAAAAGCGCGCAGGGATTCTGATGTTTCTGGGCGACCGGAAGTTGGTAGTTCGAGGGCAGACAGGGCTCATAGGTATCGGATCAGGTTCGGGGGAAAGTTTTCGCGGGGGACGGCTTGCGTGGATGGGAAGCTGGGTTTGCGTAGCGTATAGGAGCGGTTGATGTTTTGTAATGCTTTTTTTTTTCTTCTTCTGCAGGGCTAGGGGGGTGGTTTGTTGGTTGCTTCAGCCTTATCTACAGTAATACCCGTAGAGAGAAAAAGCGAGATGGGGGAGAGAGACAAAGAGAGAGAGAGACGCTTTCTTTACCTACCATTGCAGCGTGAATAGCTAGCTAGCCTCTCACCAACTTACATACAATCGCGACGAAAAAAAAAAAAATATGAAACTCCAGCTAGGCCCTCGATCGGGGGAAGCTCACTTGCTTGCTAAGTTAAAAAAGGAATAAATGAATAGATAAATAAAGCCCGTTGAATCTCCAAACTTCTAAGTCCCCTCTCCCAGTCTTATTATGCATAGAGAGAGAGAGAGAGAGAGAGGAACGGAAAAGGAGAGAGACAAGAAGAGAGAGAGGATCGACTCGCCATTATCCATGCCAATGCTTACTCACTCACCCTCTCCCTCTCTCCCTCCCTCACTCACACCCGCCACCAGACAGGAAGAATATACGCACTACGCAACGCAGCTGTGGAAAGATTTCCTGTGCAGCCAGTCACCCAATCCTCAACTCCGCCCCGCTCTCAACGCAACGCAACACAACGCAGAGATATACATCAAACGAGGAAGAGTAGGATCCAGGGTCGAGTAGAAGGCCAAGGATGAGTTTGATCATCTCTACTCGCTGCCAATCATACAATTCACTCACTTACCCACCTCTCCCACCTTCCCTCCCCCTCAACCCTCCCTCATATCCCTCATATCCCTCATATCCCTCATATCCCTCATATCCCTCATATCCCTCATATCCCTCATATCCCTCTACCCACCTCCTCTACCCACAGCCCACAGCACACAGCACACAGCACACAGACCCACCTCCAAATCTGGTCGCGAGAGCGTTCAATAGCGTGATGTGATGGGATAGTTTGGTAGGAGAGGACATTCAAAAGGGAGAGAAGGCGGCCTGTTTATATATACCTAATTATCTCTGGACCACTTCCGTGCTTCCGTGGGAAGAGGACTAGCTAGCTATATCTGCTGGCAGCTGCGTGAATAGGTAGCCGTGACAGTATCCAGCTCATTACTCTGTAAATTAGACAACGGAGACTAGAGCACAGCGTAAATAAGCGCTAGCAGTAGACGGAAAGAAAAACAGTAATGAGCAAGAATTAAACATAAATTTCGTAACGTTGACACTTGCATATAAATAACTGGTCTCTGTAGACCCCAGCGCCAGCTCCAGCGCCAGCCCAGCCCGAACTAACCGACTAACTCCCCCTACACCCATAAGTCCCTTCCATATCGACTTCTCATCACCCGGGTATATCACATCCATGTCCTCCGCATCTATTTCAGTTTCTTAGCCTCCTCTTCCTCGTTCCAGGGGTGCTTGATCGTCAAGCACCATATGTCTAGATAGTCACAAATCGTGACGATGACATCCACCTATTGATTCAAAATTAGCCCAAGGTCCACATGTCTGTAAAGGAGTTCAAATACTCACAACAAAGCTCCCATAAACCCCAACAGCCACCCCCAGCATCGAAAACACGTACGCGACCTGATACACCCCACTACCCAACGCACTCGGCCATCCGATTCCGATATGTTGCTGCAAGAACGGGCCAAGCGAGTCAAACACTCCGTACGCAATGGGCAGGACCAACACGTTGTAGTAAGGGAAGGGAAGTTTGACTAGGTGTGCAGTGATCATTTGGCCAACTGAGTACGCATTGACGAGGCCAGCAAAGAAGACGAAGGGGACTAGGTGGTTGTAGAGGATCTCGGGGTTGAGCCAGAGGTAGGCAGGGATCAGGGTCCAGGTTACGAAAAAGGGGACCAGTCCGAGGAGAGCGCCACGGGATTTGTCACCGCGCTCGCGGCGGACTTTGATTACGTTGATGGCACTGAGATTTGTCAGAAGGTTCTCAGGACAAAGAAACGGAAAGGGAGCTTACGATTGAACAGTGTTGAGGACGAGGACGCTGCCTCCTTGCACCATGTACCATTCATTGAACGCGAGGTTGTAGATGTAGTTCGGGATGAAAGCATAATGGGGAATACCGGCTGTCTCGAGCATGCCTTGTTGCCAGAAGCTGGCTCCACCCTTGATAGCTGTGAATGCGTAGACCAAGGTCAGGATGACGATGCCTTCGACGGGGCCAGAGATGAGGCCCAGTGTGAGAGTCTTGGTGTGGTATTCATCCCAGGTTTGTATGTAGAAGGTCAGGGAGGCTGGAGTTTTCGTTAGCAGATGTTGAATGCGCCGCCAGTAAAGTTGCGTGTACCTCCGAACAAGACCAGGACAGTCTTCCATCCCATTCCCAGATTCTGTGAGGCTGCAAAGACGAGAACTTCCAGGGAAGTATTGACAGCGTCGACACCGTGGTCGAAGAGTTCTCCAAGGGGTCCACTCTGATGAGTTCGTCGCCTGCCAGTAGAATTAGCATCTGCCGACTCCCGACTCTGTCCCTCTACACATGTATCACTCACGCCTGGGATCCATCAACAGCATCAAAGGTCTGATACAAAAACAATCCAATCGACCAACTGACATACACCCAAGGCGGGCAATCCTGATCCAGCGTCGGATTATACCACAACAGCGTCAGAATATTGATAACCACAAAACTGAACCCGGTAAGCGTAATCAAGTTCGGGGCCATCCACATGGGGAAGCATTTTATGACGACGTTGGTGTAAAAGGGTTTCAGCACGTAGCGCGACAGCAGCGAGTGGTCGACGCCGGAGTATTTATACTGCTTAAGATTCGGCAGATCTTGTTGTCGAACGTAGACCATTGTAGCGGCTGTTGTTGTTGTTCGTCGTCGCAGGGCGCGGTGACGTTGTTGGAGAGATTCGGGGTTGAGGCTGAAAAATCTCCGTACATGTTTTTGCGCGCACCAGAAATTCCTGCAAGACGCGACGCCAAGGATGCAACGTCATCCCTCTCAACAAGCAGGGATTCGGTGATTTCTCGCTTCGGAATAGGGTAAGGAGCAGCTCTTTATTTACTCCATAAATAAGTAAGTACACCCAGGGATTGTCTGTTTACTCGCAGCTTAGCCGAATTGCTCATTAGCAGCTATACGGAGAGCCGCCTGAAAATATTATTTGTCTCCGATCAACAGTGTCGTGCGGTACAGGGTTGTAATACTAGGCTTTTGCACAACAACTAGCCATCGTCCGTACTTCTTCTTTAACCACCAAAGCTATGAATCCATCTCATAAATACAATCAAACGCTATATTCGTTCTATACGCATACGTATTTATCACTCACTCATAAAAGTTGCTTCTCAACTGTTACTTCTTCCTCTTCTTCCCAACTAATAATAAGCACCAATCGAATTACATCTAGAAAGCGAACTCCGATTCCCTCCCATTCTGTCAATCGAGATTCCCTCTCACCTACCCACTCACTCCCTCCTTTACCCATTTTCCGATTCTTTTTCTCTCTTCAAAAGAGCACTTCAGCAGATCTTCTTTTTAACAATCAACCCCCCAAAAAACTCCAAAGCTAATCCAGTCTATGTCTGCTATCCCAAAACCACAGCATCCTCCCCCCCCCCCGAGCTCCAAAAAAAAAAAAAGCAAATAACTTTTGTACAGCCGAAAGAACGCCGCCGCCCTCCTTACACTGCATGGGATTGAAGTCATGGACGTTCGGGTATTCCCGTCGCAGGAGAGTTGGGCGCACCTTGTGTTCGCCTGCATCGATGGCGATTGGCCACCGTGGTGATGGCGATTTGTAACACCTGGGCGGCGACAGCATTATGGACGAAGGTACGCACGCATGCAAAAATCTCAGACTGTTCCCTTCTCGAGATCCGGATCCAAGTCCTGTGATCTGGGCCGCACGGGGTCAGGCGTCTGCAGCTGGCTACTACCATCCTGAGGGTCCTCTCCGCCCTTCTTCTCGCCCTCGCGACCTTCGTCTTCACGTGATGAATTTTCTTCGTCCGTATCGCTGTCATCACTGCTTGACGCCGCCTCCCTAGATTGGCGTTCCGGCGGGTCGTCCTCTCGCTCATCGGAACCCGCTGTCGGAGCGAATTTTGATCGTTCTCTGATCGGCCCGCCGTACTTGTAGAAGATGAATGGGATCGGAGCAAGGCACGTGGCGACTCCGGCAATCAGTGAGCCACCACCACCGACACCCAGAGCGTCGAACATGTACTGTGTGAACAGTGGAGCCGCGGCTCCGGCAGCTGAACGACAGACGGTATTGGCTGCCAGGGCGCTTGCGGCGAACATCAGGTACGAGTCGGTCAGGTAGTTGAGGTAGGCCACGAAGATGAGGAGGATAGAGGTCGCGAGGAAAGTTCCGGCGATCGTCGGCACGATCCAGTGGACGCTGTTGTACTCGCCCGACCAGGCGAACCAGAACATCGTCACCGGGAACAGCACGCCGCCGACCATGGCGACGGGCAGCCGGTCCTCGGGGACAGTCTTTTTGTGATCCACCTCCCGCTTCTTGCGATCACGGGCCGAGATGGCAAAGATCAGACACCCACCGAGAGCCGCCCCGATTGCTGTCCCGATCAGAGGCAGCTCGCCAACGCCCGAGTTCCAGCCTCGTTTCTGCTGAAAAATAATTGGATAAACGGTGAAAAGCATATATAATAACATATACACGACTGACAGATAGATGGCAATCATGAGCGAGATGGGATCGATGAGGATCTTCCAGGGTCTGGTCAGAGCGACCTTGAACATGGCCGCCAGGGACCGATCGGTCACCTCGATTGGAGCCTTGATATCCTCATAACCCGGGATTTGGAGACGCCTGAGACGTCTCGCCTTGTTCAAGAGCACGATCGGGGCCAGGGTCTCGGGCACGGTGAACATCAGGACTTCGGTGAGGCCGGCGAACCATAGCAGCACGTAAAAGATCCACCGCCAGTCCTCCTTCAGCTGCAAGAACCCCCCGATGACGGGACCCAACGCGGGACCGACAAAGGTCATCATGGAGAACAAGGCCATGGCATTCCCCCGCTCGACCGGACCCCAGATATCAGCGAGGACTCCAGGAGCATTCGACAGCGGGGCGCTGGCCATCGTGCCCGTGATGAACCGTCCAATCAGGAGCGCGGCAAAATTCGGCGCGAAGGCGCAGAGGAAGTTGAAGATGAGGTACAAGGTGAAAGAGATATAGAAGATCCACCTCCGCCCGTAGAACTCCGACAGCGGTGCCCAGAACAGAGGGCCAAAGCAGTAGCCGAGAAGGAACAAGCTGATCACCAGGCCGGCCGCCTCCTCGGAAACGTGAAGCTCAATCGACATATCCCCCAGGGTTCCGGATGGGCCCGACGAGGCGAAGGTGGCGTTGATGACCATCAGCACCGACACGGCGGTGATGTACCACCGGCGCCGGGCGGACCAGTTCTTGGGGTTCTCAATGTCCCCGTCGTGAAAGTCGAGGAGGCCATCGCGGGTTGTGTGTGGCTTCTCGATTCTCTCGAGGGCGCTGGATCGGTAGGGCTTCGCTGTCGGCCTCGACAGGAAGCGCTCTATGGCATCCTGAGGGGGAGGAAGTCAGCTTGGCACGGGTGTATGACTCTCTCGCTGAACTGCTTCTCCCAGCAGTATATGTATATAGCAGGTCTTGAAAGAGTAAAATGAACCCTCTTCAATCAAGATTGTCTCTACACAAGATTGTAATCCCGAGCTTGGAGGCGCAAACGATGAAGCAAAGACTGATGAAACTCACCATTTAGAAATTGTGTCTTCCCAACTATCCCGTCTCCCAACACCGACTGACTGAGCCTGATCCAAATAGATAAACAAATCGATGAAAATGACCCTTCACCAATAACAACACAAGCAACAATCCAGTATCTCAACAAAACCGAAAAATAAAACCAAAAGAAAGAGAGAGAGATCTGAAGATTTTTATAAAAGACAAAGAAAAAGCAGAGCGAGGTTCGAGACCTACCTGATCCCCCTAGCGCCCGACCCGGCTCGGCCAACGGCGTCAGACTAACTGACTGGTGCGCCCGACCCGGATCAGATCAGATCAAAACACCACCAAATCACCAACCAAACCAGACATCATCATGTCAATAATACCCATATCGGCTAGCCTATTCCAGCCTCTAACCGGACAGGTTCGTCGTCATCGGTCCGTGTGTCAGTCAGTCAGTCATTTGGTCGATCAGTACGCCCCTCCCCCCCACCATTGAGTCTTCTTTTTCCGCCCGTTTTGTCGCCGGTAGTTGGTAATTGGTAATTGGTAAGTGTCGTGATTTGCCTTGCTTTGACTTGGTCCGGGTAAGGTAACCGGCAGAGCTTGTGGCGGACTTCTCTAGTTCAAGTGCCCACATGTTTTTCTGTCTCTCCAATTTTTTTTTTATTTTTTTTTGGAGTTTTTGAGTTTTTGAGTTTCTGGTTTTTGGTTTTAAAGCTTGAATCATGTAGTAGGTAAAGTTATGATGGAACGAATGGTGTGTGGAACGGAGAAGATGGGATGGGATTTACTTACCTTTTCTTCATGCCGTCTCCGCGGTGTTTACAGAGTAGATGTCTATGTCCGCAAGCGAGCGACCGAGGAAGTGGATAAGTGGATAAGGGGATGAGTAATCATTACTTAGGTGACCAACGGTGCGCCACGCTACTTCAACTAACTACCTAGTCACTTTGATTCCAAATCAGTAATTATTTAGTCACATGAATTCGAGTATGTCTCCTGCGTTAGGCCATCGACTAGATTTTGATTGCTGTGCCTATCTTTCTTAGGGGGAAATAAAACCCCCCCGAAAAAAGGAGGAAGCAGGAATACTCGCCCGTCCGTTGAGAACTTGCTAATAATTTGGTAAATCTATCTATCTACATATCTATCTGCATGGGGAAGAAGTGCCTGGCACCGATCTCCAAGTTCCGACGTGAGGAGGCCGAGTTTCCTCCGATCAAGGTGTGGTGGTAGCGGCGTGCGTACGGAATAGTCGAAGGGGGTAAGAGTAGTTGCTCGCTAGGTTGGTGGGGTTGAATGAATGGTGGACATGGTGGCGTTGTTAATGAGGTTAGATCGATGCTGATTTTCCGTGCTATGATCAATCCGCTTCGCTCCTTGCCTTGAGTAGAAGTTTCGACCTTGAATCTTCAAGCGTGAGGTCGTCGCACATACGGAACATCGAACGGATATTGCGGATGAGATAGATGGGCCTGCTGAACGAATCTAACCGCGCGCTTGCTTGCTTGCTGTTGGGAGCTCGACCTTTTGTATGTGCGAGGTTGAAGAGGTCCGTCACACTCTCCCTACGGAATTCTCCCAAGGCTCGGAAGCGCGGGCTAGTTAGTGGTAGGCATGAACATGTCCATATCGCGAGCGTCCTCCTCCCCCTCCCTCCTCCTCCTCCTCCCCCCCGCGGCTTCTTCCGCACGCCCTGCAGCCACTCCTGCCTCGAGCATACCTTAACCCCATCGTCGCCGCTGTCCTCCCCGGCTCCGGACTCGAGGTTAATGACCTTGCTTCTTCGCTTGCGCTTTGGCATCGATGCTGATTTGTGACGGAAGACGCCAGGCTCCTCGATTTTGATCTCAAAATCGCTGTCAGAGGGAGGGTCGAGATTGATAACTTTTCTTTCGCCGTGTCTCTTGCTTCTCGTCTTTGTCTTCGGTGAAGGAAACGTAGTAGCTTGGCGCAGCCTATGAGCGGAGACTCTGCTAGGCTCAGATTCGACATCGTAACTTCTGTCCTCATTTGAATAGAGATCCATGGTGGCTGTTCTTCTCGTCCGGATCTGGGTATTAGATGAGGAAAATGGAGGAGCATGTCTCGTAAAACTGTAGACGACTTCCACGACATCGGGCTGGATCCCATCATCTTTATCATCTCCTGGGCGGCGATCCGTAGCTTTTCTTTCCGCCTGAGATCTGTGTGAAGAAGGTGGAGGGGAATGTCTCGCAGTCTGGTAAGCGACTTCGGCAGGCTCTTTCTTAATGCCATCTTCCACTGGCACTTCCGATTGCAAATATATTCCACCACTCCCTGTTGTTCTCATTGGAATTGGATTTCGTTGGGTGAATGTTTCTGACTCATCTGGCTCATTTTTGATATTAGGAGAGGGGAAGACTGCTTCCGACTCATTTGGCTCATGTTTGATACTGGGAGGGAGGAAGAGAGACTCGCTTTCCTCGCGCACGGATCTGTCTTCCTCCACCGGCTCTTCTTCCACCGGCTCTTCTTTGGAGTTGAAGCTTCTGACGCGGGAAGTGGTCAGTGGTTGGGGATTGAACGGGAGTTCAGGGCTGTAGAAACGAGAGAACTCTGCTCGGAGACGGGCTATCTCTTCGTCGGCGGAGGAGCTCAAAACGTCAACTTGTTCTTGCTGCTCCTGCTCCTGCTCTTCTCCGACTTCGGTATTTTTGTGCACAGTGTGGGTATCTCGTGGGCCGTTGTCGTCCTCACCCTCGCCTCGTTGGTATTCCACTGCTCTGTGGAGGGAGATATTGCCTGTAACCTGTGCTTCGAGCATATCTTCCTCATAGTCGATCACTTCTTCCACGATGCGGGCGCTTGGGCGGAGAATTTGCTTGGGGCTGTTCCTTATGCTGTAGGTGTCATTCTGGGTGTCTTGGTCTTCCATGGCTGTCCAAAATTTGGTGCTATCAGTCAACTGGTTCTCAAGCAACTCGTCATCGTCCTCAACATTGTCACCTTGTCCCTCGGAGCTATTCATTGCTGGTGCCGGTGCCGCAGGCTTTGACAACCCCATGGTGACACGGGTCTGCCTGGAGCGTTCCGCACTGGCTTCTGACCGAGACTTAGGACGGTCTGCAACCGGAATCTGGCCTGCCTTAAGGCCCCCAAAATAGGCGGCCATTTTGGTAGATTGCCTAGTATTCATGCTTATCCTCTCGACTGGCTGGACCGAAGGTGTTGGATGTCTGGATGTGGGTGTGGATGCGGATGCGCAGGCAGATGGCGAAGAGAATGCCGAGGAGGTCGATTCTCGCTTAAGTTTGTGAAGATCAGGAATTACTGTCTCCTCGAAGACTTTGGCTCGCTTTCGAAGAGCCTCGCTCGAAGTCACCCCCCCTTCCAGCTTCCGCTTCTCTTTGTCCTTGTCCTGGAAAGCCCGATCGATAATCCCCCGCACTGTATGACAGCAGTCAGCAATTGTAATTTTCCTTATGGAAATCCGACTCCCCGGGAGGTGAGTAACCCGACACAACTTACACTCCCCAAACTTCTGCTGCTTCACCGGCTCATTCTCCACGCGCTCATCCAAGAACTCCAAGAAGCCTTGCACCCTCTCCAGAATCTTGGTCATCATCCCGCCCAATACACCACGGAACTCCTTATTCCTCTTCCCGTCCAGGACACCCTTCAACGCATCCCGGAACATCTGATGTACCTTCTCTCTCCCCTGCTCCGTCTTGACCTCCTTGTCGACATACGCCAGAAAACTGCCAATCTTGTCCTTGATGCCATCCCGCTGGTCGATCAGGCCCTTGCGAACCACATACGGCATCGGCTTCCCATTCGGCCCCCACTGCGGCTCCAAGGCATTGGCCTGTTCCAGCTCCTCTCTCCCGGGACACGGCGTGTTGAAATCCTCACTCTTCACCCCTTCCCTCAATGCATCCTCCAGCGTTCTCTCCAAGCCTGCCCTCCACTCCGAGTACCCGCCACAATCCCTCACGTTTTCGAAGTCCCAAGGTCCAACTGGCTCCCTTGTATTGCCCGAATAACCTACTCCGTCGATTTCCATGATGGTGCCATCTGGAGCGCGGGCGGGGTTTCCTTCATGCTTGCGGATGTGGCGGGTGAACGCGTCTTTGCTGGTGAAGACGCTGGATAATTTTTCAAGCTGGGAGCGTGTGAAGATGCCCATGTGACGGCCCCAGAGGAAGACGAGTATGAGGTGGTCAGAGATGCGGCATTTGTGATATAGGGGCTTGGAAAGGATGAGAGAGGCGACGACTGTGTTGGGGTTGGGGTCGAATAGGGGGCGAGATTGGACAAGAGCGGTTGTTATGGGTGGCATGTTGTAGGTTGTGTTCTGAAATTGCAGAGAGATTTTGGCGGTGATTTTGTTCTGTGATAATCCAGAGGACGAGCAAGCGTAAGCAAGATGTAGACTTGAGAATAGGTAGTAGTTGAACTTTGTAAAGAGAGGGAGAACAAATGTAGATGAGGTGTAGTTGTGAGACTATGTCGTTCAAAAGAAGAAGGTTGTCTGTGGCCAGGAGACTGCGTCAGATTATGAATCTGGTTTTCCTGGTCTGAAGCTCGAGGAGATGAGAGTGAATATTCAGTGATAGATTCGGAGAATCCAACTCGATCGTTCCGAAACGTAAGAAAGGTGAGGCTCAGCGTACCACGAGCGGTGATGACTCAACGTTATCAATATCATGCGGCGCTGGCATTTAGACTGGGACATGAAGTGTAGAGAATTATCAAGTATGTACTCTGAGCAAAATGGCAATGTTGTGAATCGTAATTGAGTAGTGACTGGTGTGATCAGGCTGATGACGAATCGAACCGAGTCCCAAATGCTTGGATATTGGAAAAACTACCGAGTAATATTGAAAGCAATGTGAGGGTTAAAGCGAGTCCGAAAAGGGTGCGCTGGCAAATTCAATTTCAGTCATGATGTAAGCTCTTGCCTTATCCAAAAACAGTTGAGTCCTTTGCAAATTCACTTCGATCAATGCGTACCAGGCAGCGGGCGGTTCCAGGCAAGAATACAATGTTTGCTGCAAAAGTACCATAATTTCGGAGATAAATATATCTATAAATAAGAAATTATAAGCCGACTTAGAGTCCCTAGTCTCACCTAGGTCAGCAACGGCCAACCATCCATTTGTTCTCTTGGTTTACTCAATAGCAAATCTACAACGATAGTCAATAAATGCAAACCTCCAGCGCGAAAAAGAAACGTCCAAAACTCAAAGGGACTCAGCCCCCTTTTTAAATAGCAAAGAGCAAGCAACCAGTAGACCTTACTACTCCTCTCTCTCGTCTCGCTCAACCATTGCCTTTTTTTTAAGAAAAAAAAAATATTAAAGGGCATACAGTGTTACTCAACCTCAGCAACCATTGAGTCATTCTCGCCCTCGCCCTCCCCTTCCCCCCAAAACGAAAAATTCATTTAACAAGTCGAAAGAATTACGATGATTTTTTTTCCCATTAAAATATGAAATCACAGCACAAACATGCAAGGCAATGCAAAGCACCTGGTAGAGAAAGGCCTTGGTCAAACAAAAAGAGAGAGGCATTTTTATTGCGATTGAAAATTGACATATATATATAGCCACAAAGCACGCTGATAGATCGTGACCAAGGCAAGCCAACGGCGCAAGACACAAGAGAAAGGGACCGTAGCTTTGATCGGATTCGCAATATGAAGAAGAGGGAAGAAGGTCTGGATGGACTCAGGCCTGGCCCCCTTGTATAATAAGGAGCACCACTCTTACCGTTGCTTGTCTCGAAGGTGACTGATGATTAACTGATCGTTTTCATTTAATAAACCTTTCAGACTCCGTATCGAGACTAAAAGATACCTGGTTCTGGCTTTTCTCAAACCGTTATGTAGACAGCAATTCAAAAAATGTACCAAGTGCTCAACAACGCCAGTTATCGCTAGCCTTTAAGCAACCGACCCAATAACAAGAGCTGCCACTCCTCCCTCTTCACTGCGAACGACGATCTTACTTGTAACGCCTGACTTTGTAGAGTATGCCATCCGGATGTTGGCGACAACTCTGCCGCCCATGACTGTTTTACCGAAAAGCTTTAGGGTGTGCGTAGTGGTATTGATGGGTACGTCGGTACCCTCGAGAGGTTGTAATGAGAGGGTCTTGGCGAGTTGTTCGGTGGCGTCTACGATGCTCTTGACACCGCTGAGTTGCAGAGTCTCCTCGGCCTCTTCACCCGTGGCACCGACTTGCTCCCAGATGTGGTTGAAGTTACCAGCAAATGCAGGGACAACGTAATCGCTTCCAGTAAGCTCGAGATCCTCAACTTGGTACTCGTCATCGTATCCACTCTCCTCCGGCTCACCGGTAGTAGGGTCAATCTCCTTGGTAGTAAACTTCAAAATGTTGGTAAAGCTACTGGCCGTGAAGGTGTCCTCTCCGTTGACCTTCTTGAAGGATACATAGATGGTACCTGGCTCATCAGTGACAAGCTTGGCGGCGGGGATGATAAAGTCCTCCTCTAGCTCTTCTTCTTCCGTTGGTGTGGCAACAACGGACACATCTTCAAGTACAGTGTCTGGGAGAGTGTTCTTGACCTCGTACTGGAGAACGATGTGCTCCTTGAAGATATGCTTGACCACGCTAACAACATACTCCGTCTCGGACTCGGTCAGCTCCACAACAGGCGAAGACTTCAGCAGACTTCCATACGATTTCATCTCTGGGATTTGAAGGAGCGCTTGTTGGTATTTTTGAGAAACCGCAGAAGCCGTAGCGGCGGCCTCGGCACCCGTGGGTGTAGACTTGGTAGGGCCAGCCTTTGGTGCCTTGATCGTTGGAGTGATGGTTGTAAGTTTCTTGGTCCTATCCTCGGCATCTGCTTGCTCTTTGGTGACCACTGGGACGGAAGAGATGTCAAACGGATTATCAAAGGTTGACTTGTCATCTGCCGTGACGTACATTACAAGCTGATGCTCGAAATATTGGAGAGCAAAAGTGTTTTCTTGGAAAGTCAGCAATGCAATGCAACCATTGGAGACTGATTCATTCTTACCGTTCTTCACAAATCGATCAGCCATCTCATCAGGCTCAGTCATGAGTCTCAAGTTCAGCGCAGCGCGGTCTCGGACTTCATCGTCAACGTCGTCCAGGCACCTCGTGAGCAGAACTGTGACACTTCGCTTGACCTCAGGGTCCTTCTGTCCAACACCGAACTTTGCCAAGGCAGTAACCGCAGCTGCTCTTACAATAGCATTTTCCAAGACAACTCGGTTGTAGATGTATCGGACGTACTTGGTTGGCTGTGAAGTCTTCGGTCCTTCCAAGCCAAGGAGATGGAGAATACGGACAGCCAACTTTGTGAATTCACAATCCTCGATGAATTCACACAGATGGGCGAGGGCATCCTCCTTGGAATCCGGAACGAACTTGATGAGATCGAACATGCTCTCCACTACAGCACGCTTGAATTCGTATCCTCCCTCGTCCCGGAGTATGCCACTCAGGAACACGAGCATACCAGCTTGCTTGCTGGGGAATTTTAGACAAAGACCCCGGAGACCTTCCACAATCGTTATCTTGAAATCATCAGAGATATCGGCCATGAAACCAGAGACTTGCTTCACCAAACGGTCCACATTAGCCTCGTTTCCTGTCTTGAGAAGGGTCGTGAGGGCGAATGTAGCAATCGAGCGGTTGGAATTTGAGATGAGAAGCTCGATATCTGGGTTGCAAGAATGCACAGCTTGAGGCTTGAAGGAGGCAAACTTTTCGAGAATTCTAATAGCGGCGAATTTGGTAACAGCTCGCGGGGACGTGAGGAAAAGTTGCAGAACGTGGATGGCTTGAGCGACCTCCGCATCTGTCACATCCCGCATGTCGCAGATTGCTTTGGCGGCTTCGAAGTTGACCATCTCACTCTTGTGTCGGAGCCAGCCGTCCAAGAGCTGCATCATTGGTTTACGCATATTTGGGTCCTCCTCTGCCAGCTGCGCAGCCAATCGCACAAGCATTACAGTCGCTGCAGGGCTCTTTACTGCGCCTGGAGTTCCAAATTGCTGAACCATCTTCACCAAAGCCATCTTGTCATGCATTCTCATCTGGTACAAAAGCCCAATTGCGTGGTACTGTGTCATGGTAGAATTGTTGACCGGCATCTGACTCGATGAGGTCGAAAACCCGAGGGAAAATCCTCCCGATGACTTGGTGGATGATGCAGCTTCCTGTGTCTCGCTCTGCCATCTTCGTACAACATCGCGAGCTATGGGGAGAAGGTGGTATGAGGACACGAGGGCAGCCGAGGAGACGGAGGGGTTCTTGTCGACAATGGCGGTCTTCATGACGCGCTCAATACTTTGGACGGTCGATGCCTAACCTCTGTCAGTCCCGGTCCTGCTACAGCATCTCTCCCTACTCACATCAATAATGCGGCAGAGTGCTCGAATTGCGTTTGGTCTGTAAATTGCATCGGTCCCCCCACCAGTATCCTTCATGATCGTGCTTGTAACCATAATAATGTCTTCCGCAGAACTCGCCAATTCTTTGATGATTAGGTGGACCACTTGCCGCAAGCTGGCATCTTTGTTCTGAAATAATTTGGAGATTCCGAAGAAGAGGGTCGTGGCCTCATTCGTAGGGAAACGCTCCCCAGTGTAGAGGAGGAGTGCGATCTTGGTGAGAAGGACACGGCATTTCCGAGGCTGGATAGGTGAGGAATTGAACAATCGTGCTGTCTGCTATCAGCTGGGCTCGAATAGAAGGGGGGGGACTTGACCGACCCTCTTGGAAAACGGAGGTTCTGTCCACCTTCATGAGGGCAGTATCGCCATCTTCATCTTTCTTGCTGTAACTCATGGCGAGAGAGGTGAGCTCCTCAGCTTCATGGACTACAGGGACTGGTGTTGACTGAAGTTTCTTGGGGGGTTTGAGGTGATCTCGAAAGTCGCGGCGACGTAGCCAATTCCGAGCGGGATCAGCTCTTCAAAGCGAGAGGGAGGTGTGGACGGAAGTGGGGCGGGGCGGGGCGGGGCGGAAGGGCGGAACTAACGCCAAGACAGTGCCAGATATCCGGTATGTCTTTTAACAATAACACGCTGTCCATTTGAGCATACGTATTTTGAGCTGGTGATGCTTGCATTGCATGTGTCATTGGCTTGCTATCAGACTCTGTCAGATAAAAATCAAACACTGGTTTACACAACGCTCAGGAAGCGAAGCTGAAGCGGAAAAAGGTTACACAGCGAATCGAACGTGGTATTTATCACGGTAGATGAAAGGAGAGGGTGGCCAGTTCGCATTGTTGTGGTCGTGGCTCATTCGCCCAATTCGCGCTTCGTCTACAATACGTACGGAGTATATCCCGTTGCATTGAGTTACGCTCGTTATGTTCGATTTCACTCATTACTCAACAGGATCTATGTCTCCTTGTATCCACATTTTGATTGAGTTCGTAAAGTCGGAATCTCTGATCATATTGGGCGGAGTGAAATCGGTGGGAAAAATTGTGAATCCTATTAGACGGTAGACTACGTAGAAATAGCCCGATCGATTTCTAATAAAGAAGCAGTGGCCGCTCTCCAGCACTTACTCAATTCCCGCTTGCCGCTAGTAAGCAAGCAAGTATCGTCATTTGGCCAAAATAGTAGCTTGGGTCACCACTCTCTTTGGCACCTCTACAGGACCAAAATACACCGCTCACTCTCCAGCCATGATGTTCTCACAAAATACAAAAAATAGAGTCTCCGCTACGGGGAATCGAACCCCGGTCTCCGCCGAATTTCGACTGATATCAGATTGAAAAGGCAATATGCTGACCGTTACACCATAGCGGACTGGACACTTGTCGTGTTTTCCTTGATGGGCGAACTTGTCTGTAAAATTAAATATAATCCATTAATTTTTTTCGTGCGTCACATGATTGCCTGAGGTCTGCTGGACCAATTGGAAACAGAAATTTGGGACGACCGACGTTATCCCATTGGGTGGCCCGAGTCCCGTGACTCGTCAATCTTCTCTCTGATATTCTCTCTGGTATTAAATCAATAGCATCATACAACCGAACTCCGTCTCGATTACCATGCCTCCAGCTCTATCCTCATTGTATTGCAAACGATTTAATGATCTCAATGAGTTGTACATGCTATGCGAAGAACCACCCATCCGGTAGCCATGCATTACCATGTCTATATCGAGCTGATTTCTCACTGTCACTTCCTACATGGCTGTATCCGGAATTGCGCCCACTTTACTAGGCGATCTCACGGATCAGGTGGGACGAAGACTATCCTTTCTTTTCGTATTGCCGATTTATGTGGCGGCAAATGTTGCGTTGGCATGTCAGACGAGTTATGCAGCGTTAGTAGTCTTGAGAATGGTGCAGAGTTTCGGGAGTTCGAGTACGAGCACTTGCTGCTGTTTTGATCTCGCTTGGGAGTATTGGGGTTAGCTGATGTTTGTTGTCTGGTAGCTACGATGGCGACCGCATATGGTGTGGTGAGCGACTTTGCTAGTCCCTCAGAGAGAGAAGCAGTCGTAGGCTTTATCTTCGTCGGGTATCAGTCAATCCAGCTTCTTCAACGCAACACTCGAAGCTTATGGATTCATAGTCCCAGTACAGCTCCTCTTTTCGGCCCCATCATCGGTGGAGCACTCGCACAATACCTGGTCTGGCGTGCGGTCTCCTGGCTCCTGACCTTCTTTCCAGAAACATGCCGAAGCATTGTGGGTAGTGGGAGGATTCCCGCGACAGGTCTCAACAGAAATTTGCTAGACTATCTTTGGCTTGAGAAGTGCCTCCAGGCAGGAAGTAAGGAGACGCTGTCGAAGCGCAAGTTCGGGGTTCCCAGTCCCATGACCAGTGTCTACATCATCTTCCACCGAGACACGTTCTTGATCATGATGTCGTATGGAGTCTTCCACACGACATGCTTTTTTATCCTAGCATCGACATCGTCGCTGTTCATGGAGCGCTATCAACTCAACGGAGTGCAGGGTGGGCTGATGCACTTCCCTAGTGGACTTGGATGTATGATGGCGTCGTATTTCACAGGTACCTACGCGAGGCCAAATTGCCAGTTGAATGTTCACTTATTGGATGGAAAGGCAGGATGTTAAACAGAGACTACCAACTTACAGCCAAAGCCCACGACTTCGTCGTTGACAAAGTCGGTGGGGACGATCTTTCGAATTTCCCAATTGAGAAAGCTCGGCTAAGAAGTTTGTGGTATATCATTTCTCTATGTGCAGTATGCGTAACTGGGTATGAGTGGGCCGTGGAACGAAAGCTGCCATGCATTACTATCCAATGTTCAACCCGAAAGTACTGACTCTATGTCAGAACATTGCCATACCACTACTATTCCAATTCTTCGTCGGCACCGGCTCAGTAGCTGTCTTCAACGTACGTTTTTATACTAAATATAATACCTGATTGATATATTCACATGTTGCAGACTTTGCAAACCCTGCTAGTCGATCTATACACTGATATTGCTGCCATAGCTCAAGCTGGACTCAACGTGGTCCGATCCAGTCTAGCAGCGTGCGGCACGGCAGCGCTGCGGATTATCATGGACTAGGTCGGAGTCGGTTGGTGCTTCACTCTTTTTGGTGCCGTCAACACCTCTTCGCCTGCTCTTCTGTTAATGGACAATGAATGAGGCATGCAGTGGAGGTTGGCAAAGAGGCTGCCGGTTAGCCCGGAGGAAGAGACGCTGCTAGTCTAAGTACATATAAGAAGTGGAGAAAATCGCAGCACTTATTTGTCCTCTGGCCCAGGTGACCGTGGAAGAGAACCATAACGTTTTCTCTAACTCTACTTCCCAGAAATCGTGCAAAACGCGTTCATGTGCCAAATCGGATGGTACAGTGCTTTGTGGTGGACCGAGGCCCGAGACAATTATCTGTCCATGGCCCTAGGTACGGCCCCGTAGATAGTTCCCGGCAACGGGAGGCCTTGGGGACTGGGTTGCTTTGGGAAAGCTCAATTCTCGGTCAGACTAATTAATTTACATTGCCGACCTCTTATTTCGGAGAGCAAAATAAGTGGAATAAAAGCGAATTCCGTGTAAATATATAGTTGAGACTGCCATTACAATTAAAAGCCAGATTGATAGGACCGGCAGCATAGTATTGTGCTGATCGAGAAGTAGGCACAGGAGAATTCGACTCTGTATAAAAGGTATGGTACATAGAGTAACGGTACATGAAGTAAATAAAGACCGGGCCGAGCTCGCTAGTATTGTACAGTACTCGCCAAGGCTTATCGATAAAGATGACGGCTTTCACTCATGCCGCTCTCCGCATAACGCCGAATATCTAGATGGGTACTCTCCTATGTTACTTTACCTTCTTTGCTGTACACTTTGATCTCTTTCCAAGCACCGTCTCTGCGTTTTGTTTTGCCATACCTTCGCCGCAGAGCCACCTACAATGGACTATCCATACTTCACGACTGCGGCTCCCCAGCCTTACCAATTTCTTGACTTGCCTCCTACACCTGTCCATACTGCACCCAACAACTCAGAACACTATAGCAACTCTCCACCCGTTCGTGACCACTCTCATACATTCAAGTCCTGTACCGAGGAACTTTTCTTGACTTCCAAGCAGGATACCTTCGGGTTTCAGAATTTCGAAGCTTTCAATCCAAATCACTTTAGCAATAGCAATGATCTGCAACCGAGGCCGTCCGCCAATTCAGTATCCCAGCACAATGTTACTGGTGGGAATGGCAATGGGCGCCAGAGTTACGAGATGAGCATTAATGGGGCAGATGCTATCGATGAGGCCAACCGGCGGGGAAGCAATAGTGACGATGATGAGAACATGACGCCCGCGCAATCCCGTCGCAAAGCCCAGAATCGCGCGGCGTAAGCAGACCTGCCCCCAAATGCGGAATTCTTCCTTCCGTTCAAAAAGCTCACAGCTCTGCAGACAACGGGCCTTCCGCGAGCGCAAAGAGCGCCATGTCAAAGACCTCGAAACAAAACTAGCCGACATGGAGAAAACGTCGGCTACCGTGGCCGAAGAGAACGAACGGCTGAAGCTTCAGCTCCGGAAGGCCGCCACCGAAAACGAGATCCTCAAGGCGACAGCCTCAACTCCGAGGCACGGGGGCTCCGGACCTTTGCTTAATGCTGGCCCGATGCGATATTCTCCTACGGATTTCTACACCAACCTGTTATATGAGCATGACAACAAGACACCAAGTCACCGGATCGTCACAGGTGATAATGGGGACAGACTGCTCGCTGCGGCTGCTGCGTGGGACTATATCATCAAGCATCCACTGTATGCTAGAGGACTTGTCGATATTGGCAAAGTTAGTGACAGGCTGAAGAAAGCAGCCAGGTGTGATGGGCAAGGCCCCGTGTTTGAAGAGCGCGCAATTATCGATGCGATTGAGAAAAGCGTTGCGAGTGGCAGTGATGACTTGCTTTGATACACTATCATGTTTAATAGATTCGCTACGGTGCGCGCTTGGGCGAAAGGATACCACGGTGTTTTGGATGGCGAAGAAAATCTGGGACTGGCCATCTTGGACGACGGGGTTGTTTTTTTTTTTTTTTTTTTTTTTTTTTTACTGGGATCTTCTTTGCGTTCGTGGAATTCTTGACGCTTGCTACTTGTATATTGGACCTGGTATCTTTCTTGCGAGATCAATATACTCGTTCCACGCAACGCGCTGGCCTCAAATGGCTTCAGAGTAATAACTGTCTAATTGCGCATGTCTTGGGACTCGTTGATCTCTCTCTGCCCTTCAATCTCCACCTACGCAGTTTCTGGGAGCATGAAATTGAATTGGTAGGGCATCACAGAGACAGGCTGCTCACCGCCCCCCCCCCCCCCTCCCCGCTGTCATAAGACTCGCTCGTCGCATGTTCCGTCAAATGGCTGGCTTCCCCTTGAAATCGATTTGTAATATTTTTTGCTATACATATGTTGGATGAGGCTGTATATGTATACTATTTACCACGAGACTGACGAGACTGGAAATTGGAGACAGGAAATTGGAAATAGCTTTGCTATTCATTCAACCATGTTGCCAGAATATGTGTGCTGTGCTGTGCAGCGGGAGTTACCGCGCAACGCAACTGGCTCTGATGAGATTTCGATCAACTGTTTGGTTGCGATCTTACTGCGGAAAATATTGAGAGAGGGGATGGATGAGGCTTCTGTGTGTGTGTGTGTGTGGCTTATTACAATTGGTTCCAATTCCATTTCATATTCAAGTTTCTTAAATTTTCTTTTTATTTTATTTTTTTCTTCCGAAAACCACGAGTGGTCCATTCCACGGCGCCGTCTTTCTCATTCATCATATTACTTGATTGAATTCACCCGTCACCCAGCTCTAGCTAGCTTTGTCGCTCGCTCGCTCCCTTACAGCTTTAAACCTCTTCTATCATATTCTATTCAGTTATAGTGCAGTACAGTAAGTATATAAGCGCAGATTCGTTCTCTACAACAAGTCTCTCCCAGTTCCATTAGAATGAGTCCCGCTCTTATAGCGTTCCTGGACGTACGCGGCTCTGTTGTTGCGCTCCCGGCCTTAACAAGTTAAACAAGCATTTTGAGTAGTGAGGAGAGTTGAGTGGTGTGCGAAGATATTTCATGCTGCTGCGGCTACTTTATAGAGTGTTGAAGCAGCAGCAGCGGTTAAAAATATATGTGTGTTCACACCTGACAGCGATTTAGCTCGTTGGCAACACTACTTGCTGGTGATAGATAACGAAGCCCGAATATTGATGATTTACCTGCTTTGGTCAACGTATGGGAATTCAATATAAAGGATGCGTTTGCATCGATCGATTGGCTCCTTTATTCATCATTATTTCATAGTGATGCGGTTTGGCTGCGGTTGCGGGTGGGCTAGTAGCACAGAATCTTGTGGACTGAATCTGGATCTTTTGTGCTGATGGGATTCATCTGAGGATTCTGGTAGTGATTTTATAGCCTTTTTCTATGACCTCTGAAATTCCAATCTGTGAGAAGTCGGAAGCCGTGGAGGAATCTTAGAACTCATCCCTCTTCATATAAGCGAGTACATTTTTACGGAAGTCGTTTGATACGCTAATGTGATCGCTTTAGAAGAGGACATTGCATCTGTAAGCGGAAACCAATACGGAAGTTATTTATTAACAGCAGTATCATGCTGCGACTTTAGAAGCGCATCCACCAAAAAGAAGCTGAAAATGGACCGACTGGTCTGGCTCGCGGAGGAGCGAATTTATGAGTACCAAAGCCACGAGTCATCACCACTTCATCAAAAGGTATTTCTCCTAAGAAGAAGAGAAGTTCGTCGGAAAGAGACCCGCCCGAACCGTTCAGCAGATTTTGGAGATAGATTTGGCCAGTTATCTTGAAGTATCAGCAGCCCAAGTGTTATTAGACTTAGTGCTCTTAACTTATAAGTACCCGTATAAAATCGACCGAGCACAATTGACAGCAATTCGCTACTGGCTATAGCATATTTTCCGAGGTTGAATTATCACAGCTAAACCTTTCTTTGTATTTTTTTGTTTAAGACGTCAGAAAGAAAGCAAGCGCAGCTGATACCCATCAGGATCGCACCGCGCGTCCCAGAGAGTCGATGGCCGGAAGGTGAAATGGTGCCAGAGAGATCAATGGTTTCAAGTTGAGGAGGCTTCGAGAATGATTAAGTATGGCCTTCCAAGCTCTGTGCGCTTTACTCCCTTCTCTGCCATATTGGAGCGCACATTGCCCGACAAAGACTCCGCACTTCTGTGGCTCTATTCGTCTACTTCTCTCGATCTATCTGATATAAAGATGGATATAAAGAGAAAGATATGTATGTATACATATTACAAATGCAAGTAAACTTCCTTTTTCCCCAGCCTACTCGCTGCATTGACAAATCGGGTTTCCGCTGACGTTGAATTCCATGAAGTTTATCAACTTTTGGAGATCTTCCACCGATTCATAGGCAATAGCATCTTGTTATTCATCACATCTATCGCCAAAGCCATCGCTTGGATTCAGTTGCCGAGATCCAGAAATAGGTGACTGGCTGTGAGACTAGTGCTATAAGCCCCCCTACCGTGTCGTTAGTGCAAGTCTCAAAGTACGGAACAGCGAACAATACAATAACAACGGCTAGACAGAGTGGAGCTCTGAGCCGGCAGCGAGCTGAGCTCCGGCTCGTACTTGAGTGCGTGGTAGAAGGGTCTCCCTTATGTTCAACGCTGGTTGTTGTTACTCCACGCGTGTACCGAATGGTATCATAAAGTTTTTTAAACTCCAAGCTCTTTTTAGAGTGTACTGTAGGATAGTTTTGATATCTATTTCTCCTCGAGCAAAGTGTTAATCAGTGATAGGTAGGAAGACTAACGAGCCAGAGTTCTGTCCACGTATAGTGAGTTACTGAGTCCGAAATGCTGACCTCGGAGATATTATGACCTCTGATATTTCACACAAGCTCGATTCTATAACTGAAACTATATAACAAGAAGTTGTGAAAATCTGGGTAGGTGTTGAGAGTGAATGAATGAAGGACCGAGGACGGTGCACAGTCGATTATCATTCCGTTTTCGTGTACAGTACTTATTAAAACATTTTGTTGTATACCTAACCAAATACACACCTCCTTTTGTACCTGTCCTCCTCCCATAGATCGGCGCTCGGTGCGTTAGGCGATGCCACATTGCCCTCGGTGGTGATGCTGCCCCATCATCGCTGTGAGTTCAGCTTGGCCACTTCGCACAAGTGCCACCTGAGAAGCATCCTCAATCGTTCATTCTCCATTGGAGAGGAAAGTAGATATCACTATCAATTCAATGTGTTTAGTTGTCCGAGTTACTGTTATCAACACTTGATGTTGCACAAGCCATTCTAGCTACATAAAAGAGGTGCTTCCGACAACCGACTATCCCAAGTCCAGCGAGGACCAAATCTGAAGCCCTCAGTTGCCCTCTCACACATGCGCTCTACTCTACTATGTCTCCATGGGAACTATATTCTATCTTGTATGTGTTCAGTTAGAATTATTAATATACTTAAATAATATCGTAAAGACGCCTTGCTAGTAATGAATTAAACAGAGGAACAAAACGCTGGAGAAAGATAGACTAGTCATGCTATATAGTCCGGTTGACGTTAGCTACGCCTAGGAAGAAGCAATAATCAGGAGATTAAACATGCCCTCGCAGCCCGTCACTCAACGTCTTGCTCTTAAGCAGAACCCGGGACCCTTTTCTTTTTCGATCAATGTTTTTCCTTCGTCCAACATGTTAATCACAAAAGAAGGGTCCTGAGCGATAAGTAGTGGTGGAATGAAAGAATTATACTCACTACATTCACGTTAACAACAACAATAGCAGCAATGATAATAATAGTACTTGGAACTTTTCTCAAAGATTGAAGAGCTATTAAAACACGAAATAAATACCCTTAAAAAATGCAAAAATTCAACGGAACTCGAGAAGAAATTCCTATCTATGAACCTAGCTGCGACTGCGGAACTCCAGCCGTAGAATGCCTCTGCTATGATCTTCCTTGGTTTCCTATCTCCGTATTCCCATGCCAGAACTACCAAGTCATTCTCTCCTTTCTGGAGCCACCCCAGGTCTAGCCGAGTCAGACTTTCTTCTTTGCAGAGCACGTATCCTCCGTGCGCCTCGTTCATTGGTCCGTCTACGTAGATATATATATATATATATATATATATATATGTATATCTGACCTGAACTGACGAGAATTCGGTAATTCATATTTCTCCGCGAAGAAGCTCCTGAAATCCAGTAGGCCAGCTGCAATGCAGCAAAGGCGGCGACTCTCTCTTCGGGGTGTGAGGGTGTGATGACTAGTAGGACTAATAGATTCTAGGGAGAACTGACTCTAGGTCCGCAGCATGCCGTGGTTGGATTACGTCTGGACTCTTTGTGGAGGACATCTTCATCCGAGGTATGAGGTTTTGCCCTCTTAAATGCACATGTAACTTATACGAACAACGAGCGTGTATGATTTTCAGTCCCCTACATCCTTGAATGAATGGCGGTAGTTCGTGAAAAATATCGTTGAAAAGACGACAGCAGCCGGTGAACGACGCCAGAGCCAGAAGTTTGGAGTGAGTAGATAGATAGACTAGTGGAAACACGAATGGGGCCAGTACTAGAGGATCGACCAGCAGAGGGCGAACAGATGGATGTCTTTAGAGGCGCAGACTTCAGAGCTGGCACCTTGAAAACCGGAAAAAAAAATATTGACTCGGGGTAGCTCTGAAAAATCTCGATGAGCTTTCTGGGATCGGACAAGGTGGTTTTTTCCATGCTGCATCGCCGACATATAATTTACCTTGTGGCTCCGAGACTGTGTATAGATCCAGATAGATCTCAGGCATTCTTCCAATTTCACAAAGATACAATTGCTTTGGGGAAGGGTTTGAAGGGTCTTGACTTTGAGCTCGCTTGTTGCATTGGCTGTCTACTTTTATCTTACATTTCTTACATTATATTGAGTTATCTTTCCGAAGAACTCGGACGCTACCTTAAAGGCAGGTAGGGGGTTATTCAAACCATCAGCTGACAATCCGATTGCGGTCTCTTTAAAAGACGGTCTTAAGAGGTTAGCATAGTTAGTAAATCACCTTAGGCCGATACCTACGATTAAATAGAATCTGAAAACAAATGATTTGAATCATTTAAATCGTAGCTAAAATGTATCTATTTTAATCAATTATATAGTTTTTTATAACAGCTTGTTTTCCCGTGAAAAGACCGTCTTCGATCGTTTTAAGACCGATTTGGGACCGTCCTATGGCCGTTTTAGGACCGTCCTCGAACTTAAAATCGCCTCGAGAACTTAGATTAATAAGCAAACATTTTGGCCATTGGCCTGAATCTCCTCCCTTACTACCCCTACCTCCTTTCAGCTGTGCCCTTTACGAACCTTCAGCTCTTTTTCTTTCTTTCTCCTGCGGTAGAAAGAGAGATAAAGAGTCTGGAGAGCCGAAATTGAATCATCGATATGCGACGTCTCCTCGAAGAGATTTTCCTTTACCGGCGATTCCGAACCTCCCTCCTCCTTCTTCTCGAATACCACGCCGACTACGATCTATACTTGACGGGCATACCGACTGAAAAGACTAAGAGGATTTGCGATAGAGGGGGAACGTGTATAAGAGATGGGATAGGAAAGG